CTTGCTACGTTTTCAAGGGTAATAGTATGTTCTATTTAGGAAATCAGGTTGAGCTGGTAGATAATACGCTGGCCTGGTGTATTATAGTTAAACCTGAACACTCAATGCCAACTGGATCGAGTATGGATATGTCCTTTTGCTGGTCACTTCGATACTCAGGGTCAGGTGCTTAACATTTGTTGTATTATAAGGTATCATGTCAAGGTGGAGGTCATGCTTCTCCTGCTTGGGTAAGATTTGTGGCTGTCGTGAAAGGTCTAGTAAGGATAGGAGGGCTGGTGATATAAATTTCTCTGTATCAATTAAATAATATTAACGTTGGAGTGACCACACAGGGTAAAAAAGATACTTCAAACGCTGTATTCGAACCTAAAAGTTACGGCCCCTTAAGTATCCTCAAGAGTGGTGTTGGGTGAGAAAGCGGAGTCCCTAGGTGTTCAAGTTATAAGAACCCCAGGAAGTGACAAGCTGATTGTATTAGGATTTTAAGTAAATTGTTAAATAAAGAATTTAGAGATTAGATGAAAGTTGACCGAGAATCTTCAACGCTGAAAATGAGGGATCCGAGATTCTTGACAAGTGGTCTAGAAAATTTGACGAGAATACGGTAAGATTTCGGTGATATAAAAGTGAAAATTAAAAAAGTGATGGTACAGCGCAAACCAGATAGTGGTCTAGAACCCTCATTCCCTATACTACTAAAAATGTCGAATTGATCAACAATATATCTTCCATTGGTGGTCTGTTAAAATATTTAAATTGCTTGTCTTTCAGAAGACAATTTAAAAAATTAACTTCACTCCTGGCTCCTTCATTTATAATTTGTTTAATGCATAGCCGTTATACTTCATATTATACAATTGAAGTGGATCCAAACCAAAACAAAAGATGTAAACAAAGCCCGCACATGCGCAGAATGGACTGTAACCCAGCTTTAAGATATACGCAACGATCAGGTTTTAAAGCAAAAATAAAGCGAACAATTTTAAATTTGACCAATCAGTGTTCCCTATTCATGACAGTTTGAGGTCAGTGAGGATGACCACGCACCGAAAAACGCACGGTAACCCTCGCCGGCGATCATTGATAAACTTCAGACTTCAGAATGCTTTCGTTTTCCAGGGTGTAAATAGCCGGGCGGAATTAGTACCCTTGCCCCGGGCTAACGCCCGGAACGGCTCGGGGATTATGCTTGTTTCAAGCATTTTTTTGCTCGAAACAAGTAGTTTTTCCTTAAAATAAGAATCAAGATTTTGCTGTGTGCACGAAGCGTTCTTAATATAACCGCTCTTTTCAACGAACACAATCAATTTCATGAAATGTACCAGAACTAAAACACATTGTCAATCAAATTTTCTTCAGGATCATAAAGTTGTGCACATGGTACATTAACTGCGACATAACCCGCGTGCAGGCCCAAGGGAAGAATAGTTGGCATGCAAGCAAGGCCCCGTATTTTGTATTTTCCGGCATTCTGATTGACTGTTTGCTGTTGGATTCTATAATTAGATCAGTGATTCATCACAAAGCATCTTGATAAGCTTAAAATTCGAAAATTGATCACTTTTTTTATTAAAAATGGAAGAAGAAGAGACTGTTTATTGCTTACTTGAAGGAAGAGATGTTTTTGCCGTTATGCCAAAAGGGGGATTGCTTGTCGTGAAGTGTTGGAATATGGTCGCACGACTTCCCTCACGATTTGAAGTTTGAGACTGGTTTTCTGTTGAAATTGTTCTAAATTGCCTGTTCCGATTTTAGTTGAAAATGAGCAGTTGCAAATTTGGCAATTACTGACTGCGTTGCTTGCTTTTTTTGGAGTTAAAACACAGCCATTTACACATTGTTTCTATTTTGAATATTAAAGTAGAGAAAACCCCGCAACATTTTAGTGCGAGTTTGTTTGTTACTATTTGAGTTGCTGTCATTGGTTCTTTTTTGACAATTGACGCGCGAATTGAATGGGGTGTGTTATGAAAAGGGGCGTTTTACAAAATACCGGGCCTTGCTTGCAGGCCCACTATTCTTCCCTTGGCGGGCTAACTGCGACAAGAAATACACACATTTAGGTTTAACATTACAAAATAATTTATCTTGGAAAAAACATATATTGGAAGTTCATAAAAAGGCGTCTACATGCTTAAATATGTTAAAGTCCTTAAAATTTCGACTGGAAAGACAAACTTTGGATACACTCTATAAAAGTCTCTTAAGGCCATTGTTAGAATACGCAGGTTTTATTTGGGCAGACTGTGCGGACCGCGAAGTACAATTATTAGAAAGTATATGATATGACGCCTCTCGCTTTGTATGCGGAGCAATCAAGGGGACTAGCTACGAGCGACTTAGAGAAGAACTGGGATGGCAGCGCAAATGCTCATGACTCGAAGGTTTTTTCACAAAATGTTGTTTTTCTATAAAATTATTCATCATCAATTACCGTCATTTTTTATAGATCCTTCATATACATATCAACGGACGGAATTTACATTGATATCAAGCAACAATTTATCTCGATATTCTAGTCGCTCTTAAAGATTTATAACTCTTTTCTGCCGTCATCTGTGCGTTTGTGGAATACTCTTGACAATGACGTAAGGAACGCTGTTTTCTCGTCCTACATGCAAGAGTGCACTCGAACGTATATATTTTGAAAATTTTACACCATGCCTTTTATACAAGTATTCATTAACTAGAAAATACATATGCATGCAGAAACCCTCGCCTTGCTGACAAAACCATTGTATTTTCCGAACATGAAGTATCTAAAGTAGTATTCTTAATTTTTAAGAATATTCTTACAAACGAAAAATCGCCTAAAAATATCACTTTTAATTACAAAATTATCAATTTCCCAACAGATATATGTTAGGTATGTTATTATACGTAATATAAACTTCAATTTAAGGTAAAATTCAACCACAAACGCTTCGCAAAACGTTTTATTAAAGTGTTCTTTAGAAAACTAAACTGCCTTTAATTAAATTGCTTTAATAGCCTTTATCGATAAACTTTGAGTTTGCAATAAAATTATTTCAAATTCTAGCTTGCAAATGACTTTGCTTTCTTTTTTATTTAAAAAATTCAATATAGTAAAGAAGGGAATCAATATTATGAAAGATACACTGAAATTATATGCTGTTTTGTAATAGTTGTTTCATATACGATGTATTGTTAGTACTGTCTGTAGAACCAGGGCATCAACGTAATTGGTTGACGCTGTGTTGATGTACCTGCGCCGTTGTCGTTGTATAAATTTTTGGCGGCAAAGTTTATAAATAAATAAATAAATACGCAAAGGCCGTCGGGTTTTAAAGTCATTATAAAATCAATATTTAAAACAAAGTTACCTTCATTAACGTCGGCTCCCTTCTTTTAGCCGATCCTTTCGCCCTTTCTTTCTGAGAAACCTTTTGAAATTTACAAAATATTGCCAAAATGCGAGCAAAAATGAAATATATTTGCAAGAAATTTATCAATCATCAAATCAAGAAATGAAGAAATGTTTGCTATTTCGCTGTCGTCATGCAGTCGTTATAATGCAAACTTTAAATTGGACCAATCAGTGTCCGCTATTCATGACAGTCCGCCATATTTTTGAGATCAGTGAGGATGACCACACACCCAACACTCGAACACCGTTGGTGACCCACGCCCGCGATAATTGATGAATTTAGACTTCGCTAATGCTTTGGTTTCTCCGGGTGTAAATAGCCGGGGGGGGTTAGTGCCCTCGCACGGCGCTTCGCGCCGTCGGCTTGGGGAGAAGATACGCTTCAATTTTACATGCTCGTCTTGGACTTGGATTTTCCGGCTTAAATAGTTATTTATTTCGGATAAAATGTAAGTTATCACAAAGTTGCGCGTGTGGGTATCGTGGGGAATCTGTGCTTCACTATTTTATTTTATTTTATTTTATGTCCACGATATGCTGCTCAGAGAACTGTGCTATTTACTTGTGCTGTGCAACTGTAGGGGAGCGTTTGGGAGTGTTGGGGAGCGCTTTACTATTTTTTTGGCTACTGCATGAATCAATATGGTCATTCCATGATGAACATTCATCGATAACTACTGCTAGAAAGGTTGTACTTTTGACTTGTTTGATATTATCATTATTGATGGTGAATATTATTACGTGTTTTTCTTGAGGATCGAAATAAAATAAAAGTGTCCATAGATAGTTTGTTTCTGTTAAGCCATTCTGCTATCTTGTCCACTTCCGTATGAAGAATTTAATTTGGTGTTTTTGGCATGAGTGACTATAACATATGTTTGTATCATCAGCAAACAATATCATTGATGCAATATCACTGCAATTTTGAATATCATTTATATACAGAATAAAAAATAACGGCTCTAGTATTGAACCTTGTGGGACCCCAGTTCGCACCGTCATTTCGCTTGACATTATTTGTTTATATTTTACACTTTGTTTCCTGTTTGTGAGGTAATTTTCAAGCCAAAGTCTTGCTATTCCACGAATTCCGTAATAGGCCTACGTACTCTGATTTACTTATCAGAATCTACTGATCAATGGTATTTTCAAACGCTTTTGACAAATCAAGGAAAATACCAAAGGTGTAGTTTCCTTGATCAAGTTCTTTTGTAATTTTGTTAACAAATTAAGTTCGATTATTGCAAGTTCAGTTGATCTGTTTTTTCTGAACCCATATTGATGATCAGAGATTTTTTTTTCAACATAATTTATTAATCGTTTGTACATGAGTTTTTCAAGTATATTAGCAAAATAAGTAAAAACTGATATTGGTCTGTAGTTTTCAAATTTATTTTCTTCGTTTGATTTAAATATAGGTGTTACTAGGGACGTTTTTATCTGTTTAGGGATAATACCTGTAGGAAATGTTAAATTGAATATATGTGTAAGTGGTTTTGATATTACTTTACTCACCTGTTTAATTATTTTGGCATTGAAACCATCATATCCGGGGCTTTTATTTGAACTTAAATCATGTATTTCATTTTCCACCTCTATTTAGCGAGAATCAAACTGTAAGCTTGTCTATGCCAGGAAACCAGACTTTCTCCCTTAACAATCTTTTTGTTTTCACGACACCTTGATGCCCAAAGTGTGCTAGATCCACAGCTTTATTTCTCAGCGTTGGTGGTATCACAAGGCGATTTCCCCTCAGGATTGTACCTTTATGAACTGTTAATTCTTGTTTGATCTTCGTGTACTCCTGAACTTCGGCTGAATTGAATTGCTCAGAAAAGTGACGTACAGCGACAATCAAACAGTCGAAAATTGGTCAGAAAAGTGACGTCACCACTGTTGCTATGGCACCAATGACGATTCAAGATGGCCGATATTTTGGCTTTGAACGCATTTTACTTTAAAAAAAGTCGGTTACCCCCATTTTTTATTTCAGAAAATATTTTCTTATGGTACAATACACTATCTGACCAATTTTGAAAACTTCTAAAATGCCAATTTTTTTAAAAATTTATAAACATGGTTTTTCGAAATAATTTATTTTTGCATTACAGAATTTCTTTTTAAATTGGTCATTTATTACTATAAGGAAATGTTTTCTGAAATAAAAAATGGGGGTAACCGACCTTTTTTAGAAGTAAAATGCGTTCAAAGCCAAAATATCGGCCATCTTGAATCGTCATTGGTGCCATAGCAACAGTGGTGACGTCACTTTTCTGACCAATTTTCGACTGTTTGATTGTCGCTGTATATATAATATACAAATTTCGATTTGTAAAGGGCATCATCTCTTCAAAAAGGTGATCTAGTTTACGCATTTTCAACATTTCTATAAACTGTAGCGAGCCACCTTAAATATTTGCTAAAGGCCCTGTCACACTATTACGTATCGTACTAGCGTATGCCAGCGTATGAAAAATATCACTCATACGCCGGTATACGCTGACATACGCTAGGAGTACGTTAGGCACAGGTTGCATACGTTTCAAGCACGGTCGCGTACGGTGGCATACGGCGAGGCAGAAATTTTTTTTTAAACATGCATGCTCAAAAATTTTGTGCGTATCGGACGTATCCTTTATACGATAAGCAAACTCTATAGGCACACGCTGAATACGCTAGAGATACGCCAGATGTACGGTACTCATACGCTGGCATTTCAAAGGATTTTTGTGCGTATGAAAATTATTTCATTAATTTCCATACGCTTCTCATACGTTTCTCTCGTACGAAATAGTGTGACAGGGCCTTAAAATTTGACATCGGTGTATGCGTAATTTCCTTCGCTAGGTTGAGTCCGATGTTAATAAAGTAGTGGTTGACTTTATTGGCGATTTCCTTTGGGTTTATAATAAAATCTGTTGAATTAGAGTCAATAAATTCATTTAAGATTTTCATTTTCTTTGTTTTACTGTTTATTATCTCATTTAGAGTTTTCTACATCATTTTGGAATCGTGCTTATATTCAAATTAAGTATGTGTTTAACAGAACATGCAGAATATCAAACTAGAAACTTGAACTATGTTGTATTTTAAGGAGAATAAAATTGTTAAATCAAGACAAAAGGTCAGTGTTCATCTCAGCTAAATAACATTCGTCCCCGTGTATTTGTTTATGCCCTGTTTGTGACATTTAAAAACCGCACCAGCTCGGTTTTGGACCTTGACTTCTTCCACTGCACTGACACTGCCAAGCTTTGTTTGTGAAGGGACAAGAAGAAGGCACTTCCCTGCACGTTCCCGTAGCATAGCCCAAGCAAAAACACCGCTGCTGGCAACTGAGCCATAATTTGCCTGTAAAAAATCTGCTCCATTTGGTACACCGACTCCATGTACTCCAGCAGTCACCAATGCCTGCCTCGGACTCAGGCAACATCACCATCCCGGCAATTACAATCATCATTGCCATTGTGAGTTTCACGTTGAAATACATCTGAAATTGACAATAGAAAAGAGGACATGTAAGAGCGAATTTGAAACGTCTAATTTTTTGTCTGTGACAAGTAGTATAGGAACTGAGGTTTCTAGACCATTTTTTATGCTAATGAGCATGATCAGATTTCCGACCATTTTTCCGTGAACGAAAATCCGTTTGGCTCAATCTGAATTTTTTAATCATGATTTTATTTTCTAGACCATATTGGTTTTCTAAGCGCTAGATTTTCTAACAAAATTAAAACGATTCACTTCTCTTAAATCTTCAAATTTCAACTCCACCAATCTCATTCAATTCCTTTATTCCAAAGCCTATTCAACATCTTTTATTTCACTCCTGAGGGTACACAAGGCAGGGGGCCCTTGTAGTCCGGATGCACTGTTGGCATTATCCTTTTTACTCTGTGTTGTTACTCCAACATTAATATTATTTGATACAGAGAAATTTATGTCACCAGACTACCCAGTTCTACTAGAACTCTTACGGCAGCCACAAATCTTACCCAAGCAGGAGAAGCATGACCTCCACCTTGACATTATACCTTATAGTACAACAAATGTTAAGCACCTGACCCTGAGTATCGAAGTGACCAGCAAAAGGACAAGTCCATACTCGAACCAGTTGGCATTGAGTGTTCAGGTTTAACTATAATACACCAAGCCAGCGTATTATCTACCAGCTCAACCTGATTTCCTAAATAGAACATACTATTACCCTTGAAAACGTAGCAAGCTGTACTTCCACCTGTTGTTGTGTAAGTTCCATTGAACCAAGTATGTGACAGCCTTCTTAAGTCTATTGTTCTCAGAGCGATTTCCTTCTTAACCTGTGTATATTTTCCATTAGATTGTTTTTCCCATACAGTAGCCCACAGGATTAGAGCTAGGGGTATATTTAGAACAGTTGAAAAAGTAGGAAAATCTGATTTAATAGTAATTGATTCAAGGTTGAGGTCTGTCATATTATTAATAGTATCTGTTCTCCATGAAGGTGGAATCTGATCATGACAGTAAGCATAGTACCTTGTTGCTGCAACTGATACGCCACGATAACCCCAGATCCATTTTGCATGAATGTGACGGTTTATTCTTACGTATCTCTTATCAGCCACTACTTGTACAAGTCCCGAGGAGGGCTTTAGAAAATTCCTTTCTACCCACTGTTTGTTAACAGCATCTTTGTCATTTACCGGATCCTTTAGATCGAGAATACCACTTGAATCTCCCATATCCAAATCACCCTTTACCAGTCCACCTCTACTACTCATGAACTCATCAGTTGCCCACCTTTTATTAACAGCTGAACCGTAAGTTGTTGGATTGCCTACTCTAGTTAACTCATAATCGTTAACATCAAGATTGCCCGATAAAACACCACCACCACGCTTCAGAAACTGAGAGCACCAGGAGCTCATAGAACTATAGGAAACTGCAGCAGAGTCTCCAGCTGAGCCACTACTGAACCTGTAATACTATAACCACCCATGTCAATATTACCTGTCATACTGAAGCCACTGCTGCTAATTGAGCTTCCACTGACGTGATCCGTGACCCATTTTTTAGACACAGCAGAATTGTCGGTTGTAGGAGCACCTAATTTTATTATCTCGTAATTTCCCATGTCAAGGTCATCAGATAGTGTAAGACCACTATAGGTCTCACGTTTACGTCTACCTCCAGAGATCTTATTTTCAACCCACCCTCTATTTACAGCGTCTGTGAGATACTCAGGATTTCCGAGTTCACGTATTCTGTTACCTTTCATCCACAAGATACCGGTCATATTGTTTTTAGAACCACCCGCACGCGTGACAACATTATTTTTTACCCACCCCATGGAAACAGCAGATGTATCAACACTAGGATTACCAATATTTTCAATTTCATTTCCACCCATCTTAAGATTACCAGTCATTTCACCTAGACCGCTTAGTTTAAGATAGGTAGCTAGCTGGCTAAATCTTACAAGACTTGCTGAATCTAACCCATCTGAGAAACTTTTAGGGGCCTTAGAGAAGCTAATAGGACCAGTTACACTCTGTAATAGGAAAGAGTCACCTAGCCTTAGAAATGTTCCCCTGTTTAAGTCAAACCATCTTTTTGTAACAACAGATTGGTTGGTAGTGGGATTACCGACATTCTTAATTTCATGTCCACCCATTTGAAGATCACCTGACATTGTAAAACCAGAGGTGCTAGGAATTGTAGACATCTTATTTTCAACCCAACCTTTAGATACAACTTCACTACTAAGTTTAGGGTCAATAATATCAAATAATCTCCAGCCTCCCATAGAAACATCTCCTTGCATAGTTCCACCTTTTTTAACAAAGTTATTATCAACCGCCCACTTTTTTGTAACAGCAGACTGATCCTCAGAGGGATCCTAAAGATTCTTAATCTCATGGTTTTTCATGTCAATATCACCAGCAATATCAAGTCCAGTTACAGGTCTATTTAACATTCCAACTACCCAATCCTTATTAACAGCAGACTTTCCAGTTGTAGGATCACCCAAAGTTTTTATCTCATTTGTTGACATATTGAGGTCATTTGTAAGTACAAGACCAGGTAAGCTTACATGTATATGCCTGCGGCTACCTTCAACCCAACTCTTACTAGCAGCATCACCTGGATTAGTAGGAGTATCAAGATTAGTTATCTTATTACCTCCCATGTTAATATCCCCATGCAGTCATTGTAAACCCTGCTGGTTGAATTGTAACAGCAGCCTGTTTAATGATCTCATCATCTACCCACTTTCTTGTGACCGCAGACGTATCATCTGTAGGTGCACCTAAACCCTTCACCTCATTACCATCCATCTCAATGTCACCCTTCATAGTAAATCCATTCTTATCAAACACACTACCAGTTGTTGGATCAATATTATTTACTCCTTTGTTGTATCCTCTATAGAGAGCCATTTTTATAACATACACAATGTTTACAAAAACATTCTCATTATAATAAATACAACTGTAGCACCAATTCCAGCCCCAGCAATAGCGCTAACTTCTGAAGAATTATTACTGTTAACCATAGTTTTACGAAAGGAGTTGTTTTCTCTAGGTTTATTCTGTTGTTTACGTTTCCACTAAGAGTATCAAGGTGGTGAACTGGTGTGCTATTTTGATGCTGTTTCTTTGGAGGATCAACTTGCTTAACACCTACATAATTTACTTTAGTATTTGCACCAAACTTAACACTAGAGTTAGGTTCAAGTAGAATATTATTATAACCGGGAATAGGATCCTTTAATATTACCAAATTTGATGGAAATAAAATAATGTCAGGATTTATTGCTGTATTTACTATTGCGTTAGTATCTCTAATTGCTGTTCTCATATTAGTGATTCCAACTGAAATATCAGTTTGAACTACAACATCTTCTACAAGTTTACGGAATCCTTTTTGAGACAGTAAAGAGGAGGTGCCACGGTTTACTATAGCCCACCGAGTATTAGCTTGAGCTCCAAGGACACAGTATACATAACACTGCAAGCTTTCCTGTAAAAGTGAGGTATCAACAAGACCCACACTTTTGTCTGCGTAATACCTCATATAGTCATTTAGACTAGCAAGGGAAGACATACCTGTAAGCTCATCATAACTAATCCCAACTATCATTCCAGATGTATTTTTAGCATACCTAACATTTCTAACAGTTCTATGCTCATTTCTAAACTTCCGGTACACAATTCCAATAGATGCTCGACTATCACTAAACTTATCAACCTCCCACTGACCCTTAACAGGAATATTACCAGATATTACCTTTAACCTATCGGAATACTGCTGAAGTAAACTAGGATTTTTAATAAACCTTCTAATCCATAAGTACACATGAAAGTTCATAATAGATGTGATAATAGGATTTACATTACTATGAGGACTTGTATGATAAGTAGAGACTCCACATAGATATGTAGCTACATAAGTTCCACATATTGCAGCATAATACGACAACTCTCTATTAAACTTTGGTGTAACATTATCAATACTAATATAATCACTAATTTTAGGAAGGTTACTAAAGAAAAACTCACTGTTACTAACATAAACCTTAAAGTTGGAGATAGGATTAGTTTTTGTAATAGGAGGATACTTTCCAATAACAGGATCACCCTCAGTAAAACTTATCTTCTGAACTATACCACCACTGGACCACATTGAAGGCCACTTGGTTGTTATTACTTCCAGTGGAGGTTGATCCATGTCAGTCATAGTTTTGAATTGTACTGGAGTAATAATTTCCTTAGTACTAGTGAGATAAGATGTAAACTCCTTATCCTTCTTAAAACCGTCATATCTAATGTCATATGAAGATATACCATCTAAATCAACAAACCAAGTGATAACTCCTATATCACCACTACTAGTAGCCTTTGCTTCAAACTTAAACCTATTCATGTCAGCGTGAGGGTACTTTTTAATAAATCTAGCCCTCTCAGCATTCTCTGCATTTTTACCAGCAACAGGATTAACATGATCTTCATCGTCTTCGTTTCCATACTTTTTTTCATAGTCCTGGTACGATCTATACGGCGACTTACCAACTTGTCCTCCACCTAGTCTCATTCTTAATAACCTAACGTATGTTATTAAGATGAAGTTCACAATTTTACTCCAGAGTTCGCACACAATTGTATCACTACAGAACTCAGTTCTAACAAGCAATTATAAATCAGTCTTTGTGAAGAGAGTATCAGTTTTCTGGGAGTACTTCAATATAAGGGAACCAACAACTATTCTCAAAGTGAAAACAGATGATGGAGAATCTGATGTAATTGTTAATAAAGGTTACTACACATTTGACAGCATGAAGAAGTTACTTGAAAGACATGGTGTTAAGCTAACCTACTTTTCTGAAACAGCTGGATGTCAAATAGAAGCAGTAAAACAAGATATCACAATAGAAACACGATTACTGACCATGTCAGGTTTTAGTAGATTTAATAATCCTATGATCCTGCTAAAAGGGAGGAGTCTGACAAGTGATAGCAAAGTTGACTTCAATAACGGTCTACGATGTGTAAATATACACTGCAATCTAGTTAGTAGCAGTTTTAACGTTAACCCTTGGGGAAGACCCAGCGATGTAATAACAAGTGTTACAGTTCCAACTGACAGACCATTATTAGGCTCAGTCGTTAGTTACATTGATGTTGAAAGTAGGATTTCAGTTATCAAGGGTTCTTTCTCAGAACTTGTATTCTACATGACAGATCAAGATGGGAAACCTATTGATATAGGTGAAGTGCTTATCGAGATGTACCTTGAGTAGCGAGCTTACATTGGTTAATATAAGATGGACGACGATATTATGAAAGAACAAGGACTACGAGATATTTACTACAATCCTAAGACTGGATTTCAAACACCAGAGAAACTATATCTTAGAGCAGTATCAGACGGACTTAAAGTAACCAGAAACCAGGTCAAGAAATGGATAAACGAGCAAGACACATACACAAGGTACAGACAAGTGTTTAGGAAACATAAGTTCAGACAGACGTACGTCCAAACTTTAGGTGAACAGTTACAAATGGATTTAGTTGATATGACAAAATATGACGATAAGAACAAGGGATACTGCTGGATTCTCAAATCCATTGAAATACTGAGTAGGTACGCATTCACAGTACCAGTGTATAGAAAAAACGCGACATCAGTGAAGGACGCAGTCAGTAACATTTTAGAGCAATTTAATAATCGTTTTGGTAAATACCCAAAATTCACCCAGTTCGATCAAGGCACAGAGTTCTACAACAAAGAAGTAAAGTTATTACTCAATAAACATAACATCGAGTTTTTCTCCACATACTCAGACAAAAAGGCCGCAGTTGTGGAAAGATTTAACAGAACACTGAAAGCGCTAATGTGGAAGTACTTCTATAGTGCCAGTACATATAAATGGTTAGACGTCCTTCAAGACTTAACTGATAATTACAACAGTTCAGTGAACAGATCAATTAAAACAACACCGGACAGTGTAAATGAGTCCAATTGGACTGAAGTATGGAAGACACTTTTTAGTCACAATTTAGGCAAGCCGTCGGAACCAAAGTTTGCTGTCGGAGAAAGTGTCAGGATCTCGAAGTATAAATCAGTGTTCACAAAAGGGTACGAAGCAAATTTCACAGAGGAGTTGTTCACTGTGACGGAAGTGTATCACGGCCATCCAAACACGTACACAATAAAAGACAGTGCTGATGAACCAATAATTGGCAGATTCTATGAACAAGAACTGTATAGCGCTGAAGGAAGAGAACCTGATTTCGGAATAGAAAAAGTACTAAGGAGAAGAACTGTGAAGGGTAAAAAGATGGCCCTCATTAAGTGGTTAGGTTATGATGACAAATTTAACAGTTGGAGACCAGCTGGAGACATCAAGTCCCTAACATAAGTTAAAGTATTATGGAGGACTTCGAGGACATTGAGTTGGAGGAGACAGAAAAAAGTTATCCTCAATATGACGACCTTAATTATGATGACCTAACGACAGCTTTTAGTAGGTTAGATACAAGGGTGAAGGGAGAGGCTATGTATGGTGATGATCCTATAGTACTAACCGATCTTAAAAGTGAACTTGACTATGTGAAGAATCTCATGGAGAGACGTGCAATAGCAGAAACAACTTTCACCGAAGGAAATGATGGCACAGAGGTGTTGGTATTTAGAAGTGAACAAGGTATTGACAAAAGTGGAACACAAATAATGAAACGTGGTAAGAAGAAGACTCCAGTGTACTCTAAGAACTCCACTGCATTAAGAGAATATAAGGACCTTCTAAAGAAAATAAAAGAGGTACCTACGAATCCTGACAATATAATTGGAAGTGATGAATCAATTTACGAGGATACTAGAGAAGAGCCGCAATTTGATGAAAGTAGTGAGGAATACGCTGACCATGAGAACATTGAGTTAATAGATATAAGTGCAAAAATAGGAGACCTTCCAGGGCTAACAATGCAAGAAAACAACGAACTGAGAGGTGTTCTTAACCCACCTGATGGATCAAGCATAGAAGGCAGAACAGGTCCCAATGGAGCGTTACAAGTCCAGGCTGACTACTTTAATGAAGCTATTGGTGAAACCGTGGAACGCGCCACCTCTGCGGAAGGTACAACTGAGTATAATTCCCTTTTAGAAAGAATTGACAGTTTGAAGGAAGCCAGGGATAGGACACTAGAACAGAGAACTGTAGAGGAAGCAAGAGAGGCACAGTTGAAAGATATTTCCAGATTACGCAGATTTACTAAATGGTTAGGGGAGGAAAAGGTGGGACTTGTAGGGATAGCAGTGTCGACAGCTAGTTTAATTACAGCCTTATTAATTCATGCTAGGGGAGCCATTGTGAAGACAGCAAAGGTCACTGGTAAAGTAGCAAAAGCATTAGCAAATTTAGCAAAGAAAGCAGGACCAATTCTAGTTCCAATTCTGAACACCATTGCAACGGCGCTGTCGTGGGGAGCCAAAGGAATTGCTTGGTTAGCGTCACACTTATGGGTATTAGCTATAGCTGCAGCCTTAATGGTATACAACTATTACAGCAAGTAAATTATGAGAAATGGCTGAAAGCGTAGAATACAAGGCAGCATGGATGGATAGGGTAAGTACCATTCTTGATGAATACAATAATGAATACTCCGAGATTTGGGAAGGAGACCTGGGAACCGAGGACCTAGATGAGCTGAACAGATTATATCCTGGCTATAGGGAAATGAATCCTGAAGATATGGACTCTGAAATAGACATTCTCCGAAGGAAGATAACAGGCTCAGAGCTCGAAGAAAAAGAGGATATTAAAAGAGAAATCGAATACGTCAGTCAGCTAAGAAGAATAAAAACCTGGAAGAATTCAGAAACTGAGGCCTATCTAAACGCAACCCATGGTACTCTCAAGGAAGAGGTAAAAACATTAGTTGTACTCAGAAGAATAGCTAAGGCTGAAGTTAGAAGGAATGACTACTCGGAAAAAATAGATAGGCTGAAGGGTATTATAGAAAAACTAGGTTTTGATCCCAATAAGCCCGAGGAAGAGTTGGAAGTAGAGGAAGAAGAACGTATGCAAGGAGAAGCTAGAAAGAAGGAGGAAGAAGAACGCAGGAAGGCTGCTGAGTTAGAACGTAAAAGGCTTGCAGAAGAAGCTGCCGAACGTCAGGGAAAAGCTGAGTTTAAGCGTAAGGAAGCTGAGATTAAAAGACACCAGGAATTTATAAAAGGTGATAAGGAGAAAACAGAGTATTGGAGAAAAAAGCTCGAAGAATGGGAAAAAGAGAAGTCTAAACCCGAGGAAGAACCGAAGAAGCCTCAACCTAAGGAAGAACCTAAGGAACCCAAGATAGAAAAGCCCTACGGAGGTAAAGAACCCGGGAAGCTTGATAGAGGTAAGGAGACTGAGGAGTCTCTACCTGGGGTAGACACTGAATGGCTAAAGGATACTTTCAACTTTGAGAACCTCCTGTTCCAGGTTGCAGAGGATACTATCCCAGAAGATGATCAACCTATATTTAGCGGTGATAGTACGGAAATCATGTTGAAGGATGTTAGGGAAGATCTTACGAGGTATGAAAGATTCAAGTCATGGGTTGAGGATAACTTCAGATTTGTTCTTGCAGGTATTATAGTGTCAGTTGCTGCTCTCCTTACAGCTATTATCATACAGACTAGGAAACTATACTCAATGGCAGCAAACTCAACTCGCAGAGGTGGAGGTCCTTCACCGTCACCATCTCCACTTCCTGATATAGTAAGCAAACTGATTAAATTCATATCATCAAACTTATGGGTGGTAGCTGTGGGTATCGGAATAATTTTACTTTACATGAACAGCTAAACATTACATATTGTATACAAGTATGAATACCACAGAAAGAGAACTCCAACCTGGCTTCAGGAGGAGCCGTATGACATCCGTAAAAGGTCCCAGAACTAGAAGTGTTGTAACATTTAATCCTACAACTATTAGCCCAGGTGAAGAGCTGTACATTAACATCCCCAAACTAAAGCCTGACTCTTGTTTAGTCCCAGGATCACTTGCACTATTATTTGACTTCAAAAATTCCAATACAAAAAGCCGCTTTAATAATAACCTGGCTAAGTTGATAGCTAAACGTCTTCAGATTAAAGTAGCAGGTGAAACAGCCTATGACTGTTCAGGAGAGAGTTTGTACGGAGTATACAAAGATCTATGGCTAACACTAGGTGACAGAAATAAGATGACTGAACAGGGTCTTGCAAGTGAGAATCTCAGGAAGTTAATATCAGGCGACGACTCAGGTGTAAAGGTAGGTGATGTTGGTAAAGTAGCAGATGCACTTCTCCACAGTGTGTATGGTTCTAAGCTTAGAAAACCAATTGATAAAATAATTGCAGACCATGGACTCTACACGCCGTTCTCCATGAATAACAATCCTATGTACATCCTCACACTCCCGCAATCAGATGAGATTATGACTGCCCAGGGAGGTGAAGCTAAGGGTAATTATAAACTTGATAATCTTGAGTTAGAATACGAGACCATTGAGAATGACGCCCTTGCAAGTGAAGTATCAAGGATGTATTCAACAGGCCGCTCACTGTCCTGCAAACACGTCACTCTTATGCGTACAAGTAATTGGGACAAGGATCTTACCATTGTTAATGAGAACATTAATATCCCCAGGAAGAGCATGTCAGCAATTGTACTTCTATTTACCAATAGAGTGAGAACTGATTCTGAAGAGTATATTTACCCAAACATTGATAAAGTGAACCTGACCATTGAAGGTGTGCCTAATGCAGTCTTCTCCCAGGGACTTCCTAAAAATAGGTTCTTCGAAGAGGCAAAAAGATTCTTCTGCCCTATGTGTGAGAAATCCATGGCAGACGAATTTATGTCCATCAGCAAGTTCTTCACCAATGGTTTTGCTCTAGTAATCGACCTAAGGTCAACACAAGATGATACCACTGGTGGAGGTAAGAAGATTGTTAACACACAGTCAGGATTACTCCTGGAAATCAAAAAGAGAGCCACAACAGCTGACGTTCAATGCAACATTTTTATTGTATCAGATGCTCTCCTTAACTTTGCAAATAGAGATCTATCAAGTATTCAATACTAGGTACCCTACGTAGTTTGTACTAACGGTAAAGCATAGAGATGCAACCATTCAACATGCTCATAGTAGGAATGACTGGAAGTGGCAAAACTCAGTTCCTACTTAATATGTTAGAAACAGAGTACAATAGAGTATTCGATTACATTGTCATTATATGTCCAACCATAGAGTGGAATATGACTTACATTAATTGAACTCATATTAGTGACCACGGAGTTATACAAATTCCATGCTCACAAGAAATGATTGATCTTGTTCTCAAGGCTGTGTCCACCATATTCCGCGGTACTCAAACTCTCATTATAGTGGACGATTGTGCGGCAAGTCAAGATGTAAAGAAAAGAGTCTCAGAACTGGTGCGCTTAGCATTCTCCGCAAGGCATTACAACATATCTGTTATTGTAATTACCCAACAATTGTCATCAGTAGCAAAACCCTTTCGAGAGAACATTTCCAGGCTAGTTACATTCTACAACCCTAGTCGCAAGGATATGAAGGTCATAACAGATGATTACCTAAGTGGAGTTCCTCAGGAGACAATTACAGAGATTTCGAAGATATTAAAAGATGAGAAGTTCACCGCACTGGACGTACTACTTATTCACCCTTACACATACACTGTTAAACTAAACACCGCGTAAAATATAGATGATGGGAACTGAATCTGAGGAAGAAATATTTGAGGCTGTAAGAGAAGTAGAGGAAGCCGCAAAGGTACCGCAGAAAAAAGCAAGAAAAACTAAGTCTACCGCAGATAAGTCGCAAACTGAAAGCAAAAGAGACAAACTTATAGAGCTATCTAGGGATGGTATAATAGAGAAGCCCGCAAGTTTTATAAGAAAGTCTAACAAGGATGTTGTAGATAGACTATACCATGAGTATGAAAGTCAGAGGATGTCATGTGCAAGTGACTTCTTATCAACACTTATTATTTCAAAGTTTGCTTCTATACTGGGGAGTTTTGGTGCAGTGGAATCTTCAGAGAAACTATCAGAGGAACTACTTAGTGACAAGCTTTTAAAGGATGACGTAGCGTATCTAACCAGAACGATATCCCCCAACATCCCATTCATAGGGCTTATATCTGGTGGTTGTACTACTGCAAAGCATATTGTTGCTCATAAGTGGAATAAGAAGGCAGAGTCAGAGGAAGTGTCTGAAGAAGCTAAACATATCTTTTTAAATACAGAATGTCCTGTGAGTGGGGAGGAACAGAGCTTGAAGACATAATTTATGAACTAACCGAAAAAACTGACAGCAATAAGAAGCAGCTAGACGAAATTCAGACATCACTTGATTCAACAGAAAGCTTACTTAAAAAGAACAAGGCAACACTGAACTCAATAGAGAAAGATTTATATTCACTTAAGGATAAAATCATAGGACCACTCCAACATGACCACCAGACGTTCAAGGCTGACGTGATTAAAACAGTTGTAAAGATATACAAGAAACTAAATGAAATGTAATATTTTTAAACCAGGAAGCAAACATTAACGAGGAGTAGCTGAGTGGGTAGAGGGAATGCTGCTTCATAAATGTCTTATAAAATAGGCCCAAAAATTTTTACATATGTAATATAGAGAAAGATGGAAAAACTATTCAGGAACCGGAAGTTGAATGTTAGTGTAAGAACTGTTAGTAATGGTGAGGAGATACTGTTTTACGCAAAGGATGTGGCCGAATCCCTAGGATACTCGAATACGAAAAAAGCTATTCAAACTCATGTATGGAAGCCAAACAAGACAACACTTGGAGAACTTAGGGGGGGACCCAATTTGGGTCCCACCCTAGATGGTCAACCAAATTCAGTTTTCCTAAGAGAACCTGGTTTGTACCAACTAATATTCAACTCAAGACTCCCAGTAGCGGAAGCGTTTCAGGATTGGGTATTCAGGGAAGTCCTTCCATCTATCCGTAAAACTGGATCGTATGAATTACTAGATAGAAGGTCACTCAGATATAACCAAATGATCCTCATAAACGAAACGGACCTTCATCATACAGTTGTGAGTTACATAAGGAACAACCACCCTGAGGCTGTAATAATACCGGGTCTTGGTGAGTACCAGGATACGGTGTCAAAGAGATGTGATGCCTGGAAGAAGGGATATAAGGGTGGTCAACCAGATCTTATAATAGAGAATCCTAAGGGGAAGTATAAAGGATTCGCCATTGAATTTAAGTCTCCTAAGGGCACCGGGATTACAAGTGCGAAGCAGGAAGAATGGCTTAAGAAACTAAGGGAAATAGGATACGCAACATTAATATCTGATGATGTACTAAAAATCTGTATTAGAATTAATGAGTACTTTCAACTTAAGAATGTTGTGAGAAAGACCGCAGTGAAAACCGCAGATTGTGACTATAAGTTGTACAGACCAAGGTTTAGGTCAGGTAAGTATTAGTTCAGGACATCTCACCAGTAGATCTAAGTTACCTCACAAGTAAATTTAAGTTACCTTGTAAGTAGAATTGAGACATCTCACAAGTAAATTTAAGTTATCTCACCAGTTATCTCACCAGTAGATTTAAGTTATCTTACAAGTAAATTTAAGACATCTCACAAGTAAATTTAAGTTATCTCACAAGTAGAATTTAAGATACCTCATAAGATAAAACCCAGTTAAACCTAAGGTATCTTACAAGTAGAATGGAAGATAAACCTGAGCAAATTCAAGTACCCATAACAAGTGAAAAGAAGAAGGACCCTAAGAGAGTAGCTGCTGGAAAGCGACTAGCTGCAATCAGTAAGATAGCAAAGGAGAGAAAAAAGAAACTTGAAGAACCAAAGGAGTCATCTAGTGATAGTATAATCACCTACATAGGAGTGGCCATTGCACTGATATCTCTTGTGCTAGCATATAAGACACATCAGAGGGAAACTAAAGAACTAGAACCTGAGTACATCCATAAAACTGTAGAAGTAACTAAGAAAGCTGATGAGTCCAAGTTAGATTCACTTGAATGATACATTAAACATACCATATATTATAGCAAGATGAGTAAAGAATCAAAGATGACTATGGAAGTGTACAACGCAGTGTTACTTACAGCAGGAGCAGTTGGTATATCAATGGCATCAAAGAAACTATTAAAAGAACCGTTAGGTACCCCAGAGAATGTAAAAGGAATGGCGAAGTTAGCTATTTCAGTTAGTCTTTCATCTCTACTGGTCTCTTACTTGAAAGAAAAGAAGTATCTACCAGATGATCCATTCAAAACCTAGGTAAAACTATACAATGGCGGGAGCAGTAGCAGGAGGACTCTTTAACGCATTTGCATTTGCATGCAGGAGCAGGATTCTTATTTAAAATGTTTGACAAGAATGGATTCGCTGCTGAAGCTCATAGACATAACCTTGCAATGGAGAATCTAACAGCTGAAAGAGAAAAGTATCTCGAAGAGGTCACCGATAGGAGAAATAGAATAGCTCGACTAAAGTCAGAACTAATTGATGCAAATAGGGATATTAAGTCAACAAACCAGTCACTGGAACTCGTTAGAAGAATCAATGAGTTAACACGTAAGGCTATGCCAAGGAAGCCGCAATTAAGTAATCACTACAAACCTAGCCCTGAGATGGAAGAATATATGGCAATCTTTGGTTTAATTACAGGTGGGGTGGTTGGAGGGGCAGCTTATTTAATGCTATAGAAAATGCCGCAAAAAATTTTCACACTAATAGTATAGGGAAATGGACTAGTTGGAGATGGTAACACCTGATGAAATAGAACGTGTAGGTAGGAAGGTAAATACACTGGAAGAGTTAGAGGCTGCTGTGAGGAAGCACGTAGAGAGTAGAATAAAGATAAAACACACATATGATCCAGTATGTAGCGAATGTGGAAGTAAGTCTATTGTAATGATAGATGGAGCAGATACATGCACACAGTGTGGTACAAGTGATATGAATAACTTCACATACTACGTTAGTCACAACTACAACAAGGATGACTACCTGAAAAAGAAGTCTTGTCATAATAGAGTCCGTTGGTTTGAGAGACACTTGTTCGAACATGTTGCTTCTAGGGATAGGGACACCATAAGGGAGCAGTTTAGAAGCATTGTAAGATGTATACAAAGACTTAGACTGCAAAGGGGGCGCAATATAGTTAGATACAAGTTTTACCTGCTGAGGATAGCCAGCATGAATGGTATCACCTTAAGAAACCCTCCTGAGGATATTAAGACTCAAAGGATAGTGGACATCCTTGAGGACAGATTGTATGGGAAAGTTTTTGTTGAGCTTGGATGGAAACCTGAGAAGTGTAAATATTATGATAACTGGAAAAGTAAAAACACTTAAAGAAATACTAATATAATAAATTAAATAAAATACTTAAAGAAATATTAATACAATAAACTAAATAAAATACTTAAAGAAATATTAATATAATAAATTAAATAAAATACTTAAAGAAATATCAATATAATAAATTAAATAAAAGACTTAAAGAAATATTAATATAATAAATTAAATAAAAGACTTAAAGAAATATTAATATAATAAATTAAATAAAAGACTTAAAGAAATATTAATATAATAAATTAAATAAAAGACTTAAAGAAATATTAATATAATAAATTAACCTAAAGAATAAATTAAAAATAAATTCTAAATAAATTAACAATTAAATAGCCAAATTTATTTTTACATATATAGTATAGAGGAACAGTTGAAAAATATGGCGAGTTATTTTGACATGAACGAATTCAGCGTAGAACAGCTTATGGCTCTCAATAGTATCATAGACAGTGATAACGAGATTGATGAAAGAGAACATCATGGAGGACAAAACCTACAGGATTGCACCTGATGATAAGGGCAAAAGTCCCTTTGAAGGAGAAAGACAATTCGTAGATGAAGTTGACCGTGATATGGAGGTAAAGAAACCAAGACGTCTTCCTTTGAACTATAAGGGTAGAAGAGGAATTATGCCAACATGGAAGTACTCTGAAAGACAGAAGGCTAAGGCCTTACTTGTAGAGGAGGCATACCAAAGTCTACTAGCAAGGGGAGTTAAGGGGTTACCACCAACAATGGGAGGTAGATGGCGCACAGACGATCCTCAGGTGAATGCGGAAATTAGGAGAATCGAAAATGAGAGGAATCCTAAGCGTCCTAGAGGTAGACCACCAAAGCCTAAGGTTGATGGTGAAGTTAAGGTTCCTAAAAGGAGAGGTAGACCACCAAAGTCTAAGGCTGATGGTGAAGTTAAGGTTCCTAAAAACCACCAACAATGGGAGGTAGATGGCGCACAGACGATCCTCAGGTGAATGCGGAAATTAGGAGAATCGAAAATGAGAGGAATCCTAAGCGTCCGAAGAGGTAGACCACCAAAGCCTAAGGTTGATGGGTGAAGTTAAGGTTCCTAAAAGGAGAGGTAGACCACCAAAGTCTAAGGCTTATACAACAAAAGCCTAAGGTTAGAAGGCAAACTGTCGCGAAAAGATTCCTGAGTCAAAATAGGATAAAACTCTCGGTGCCTGCAAACAGTATTATAACTCCAACAGGTCCAGGTAAGTTTACGATCAGTGTGTAAGAAACCCACAAGGAAAGCTCCTGAAGTGCCTAAGGGTGTAGCTCCATGGAGACCGACACCTAAACCCAGAACTAGACTTCCTCCTAGGGAAAGACCTGTACCGAAACCCAGAACGGTACTTCCCAAGGAAAGACCTGTACCGAAACCAAGGACTACAAAACCAGTGTCTCCTCCTAAGGTCCGTAAGCCTGTAAAGGTGTCAAGGGAAGTCAAGGAGCAGCCTATAGTGGTTACACCAGAGGAACACGAAATAGACCCATTTGGAACTTACCTTGAAAAGCCATTCCACAGAAAAATTGAAACAGCCGCAAATGGAGCTGCTGTAACTTACTCAATAACTCCTCATTATATGGACCCCCTAAATCAGTTAACTGCAAGTAGACAGGTAGTGAGAGGAATACTTGTGAATGAATTGAAGAGAATGGGAGGGTTGAAGTACACGGAGACAATAAAGGTGAGAATGTCGAAGGAGATAGGTAACGGTAAAACAAAGAAGGACTCAATCTACTTCAAGTCCAAAACTGGCACCGCAACTAACTTCGAGAATATTGAAAGTACAGCTGCTCAAAACCAACTGACAATTTTGTCTAGAATTGAAACATTCCAAAACTTAGGTTCAAATTGGATTATTCTCAATATTGAGAGCCATTACGTGAACATTGCAATGTACAAACCTCTGAAGGGTAGTTCATATATGAAACTTCCTGGGGACATTAGTAATCCAAAGTGTGGGCTAATCAATATGAAGAACAACGACAACCTATGTTTCCTGTGGAGTCATGTAAGACATCTGAGACCTAAGGCTAGAAGAGCAACGACTATCACACGGAAAGATAGGGAATTCACAACGAACCTGGACTACGACGGTATAGACTTCCCTGTGAAGATCAGCGATATTGACAAGATTGAGAGGAAAAACAGTATCAACATATCGGTGTTCGGTTACAGTGGTTAAGAAACAGTTCTACCCCATAAGGAACTCTAAGGCTAAACATGATGAGCATATGGAGCTTCTACTCCTGGGTGATAGTGAAGGTAACAACCATTACGTTCTCATAAAGGATGTAAACAGAATGCTCTTCAGCGTAAGTAAACATACAAATAAAAAGCACTTCTGTCTACACTGTCTTCATAGTTGTGTGAGCAAAGAGGTACTGGAAAAACATAGGGAGACGTGCATCGAGGTAAATGGAACTCAGGCTGTAAAGCTTCCCAAGGAAGGTACTAAAATAAAGTTCAAAAATCACAGGAACTCAATGCCTGTACCGTTTGTAATATACGCTGATTTTGAGTCCATACTAGTACCAGAGGAGAGAAAAGTGGAGTCAGAAAACCCTGAGGACAAAAGTAGTACAGACCTTTACCAGACACACAAGGCTTGTAGTTTTGGTTTGAAGACTGTCTGCCATTATAATGATAAGTACTCTGGTGAGTATAAGAGTTACGTTGGAAAGGATGCTGCAGTGGTATTCCTGAAGACTGTATTGAAAGAGTCCTTCAGATGTAGAGAGATGGTTAACAATATATTCAAGAAAAAGATGGTAATTACACCTGAAGAAGAAGCTGAGTTCTGGAAGGTAAGAAACTGTTCAATATGTGGTAACGATCTTGGTGAGGACAGGGTAAGGGACCATGATCATGTAACAGGAATGTACCGTGGAGCTGCTCATAATATATGCAACCTGAAATACAGAATTACATGGAAAGTACCTGTGGTCTTCCACAATCTGAGAGGTTATGATAGTCATCTAATAATGCAGGAAATTGGTAAGTTCAAGATGAACATTAACGTGATCCCAAATAATATGGAAAAATATATTTCATTTTCACTGGGTAAAAATCTTGTCTTCATAGACTCTATACAGTTTATGGCTTCTTCACTAGAAGCACTGGTGAGTAACCTTTCACCTGAGGACTTTAAAATAGTAGGTAAGAGGTGGAAGGGTGAGGACTTCAATTTAGTAACACAAAAAGGAGTCTTTCCATATGAATTTCTGGATGACATTAGTAAACTCAATACAGAGGGTCTTCCTAGTAGAGATAAGTTTTACTCATCACTGTATGAGTCAGAGGTGAAGGAAGAAGATTACCAAAGAGCTAGGAAAGTATGGGATCACTTTGGGATGAAAACCATGAGAGACTACCACGATCTCTACCTAGAGACTGACGTTCTTTTGTTAGCCGATGTATTTGAAAACTTCAGGAGAACATGTCTGGAAAATTACAAACTTGACCCTGCACATTACATGTCAGCACCTAGTCTAAGTTGGGACGCCTTCTTGAAACAGTCAGGTGAGGAAATAGAACTTGTAAGTGATATGGACATGTTTCAGTTCTTCGAGAAAGGAATGAGAGGTGGTATAAGTCATATTGCCCACAGACACTCAACAGCTAATAATAAGTACATGGAGACGTACGATGAGTCGTCTGAAAACAAGTACCTTATGTACCTCGACGCTAACAATTTATATGGTTGGGCGATGTCACAACCACTACCTAATGGAGAGTTCGAGTGGGTTAAGGAAGTTGATGGTATGAATCTAGATGATTACTTAGGAGACAACGAAAGAGGGATGGTTTTAGAGGTTGACATGGAATATCCCAAAGAACTTCACGATGAACATAACGGTTATCCTCTAGCACCAGCGAGCAAAGAAATTAGTTCTTCAATGTTGTCAGATTACGCTAAGAGTATTGCTGAGAAATTCCAGCTGACAATTGGAGGAGTAAGAAAACTGGTAAACTCACTAGGACCCAGGAAAAACTACGTCTTACATGTACGTAATCTGAAACTCTATACAGACCTTGGAATGAAACTCACAAAGGTTCATAGAGCGGTTACATTTAAACAGTCTCCCTGGCTTAAGAACTATATTGACTTCAATACGAAGAAAAGATCAGTAGCTCGTAACACGTTCGAAAAGAACTTCTTCAAGTTAATGAATAATTCAATCTATGGAAAAACAATGGAAAATCTAAGAAAAAGAGTTGATGTAAAATTAGTGTCCTCAAAAGACGACCTCCTAAAACTGACAGCATTACCGTGCTTCCAGTCACACCGAATTATGAATGAGAACCTTATAGTTGTAAAAAGAATGAAGGAAGTTCTAACGCTAAATAAACCGTGCTATGTAGGAATGAGCATCTTAGACTTATCCAAGACTTTAATGTATGATTTCCACTACAACACAATCAAGAAGGAGTACGGTAACAGGTCAAGGCTACTGTTCACTGATACTGACAGCTTGATGTATGAAATAAAGACTGATGATGTTTACGAGGACTTCAAGAGGATCGGTGAAGAGCAAGACTGCTGGGATAATTCAGATTATCCAAAAGATTCTCCATATTACTCAACTCATAACAAGAAGGTCATAGGTAAGTTTAAGGACGAAGCTGAAGGAGTACCCATAATTGAGTTTGTTGGGTTAAGGTCAAAGATGTACTCATATGTGAAGGAAAACGGTGGAGGTGGAATGACAGCTAAAGGAGTTAAAAAGTATGTCATCAGAAATAAGCTCACTCATGAGAACTTCAAGAATGTAATTAGTACGAAAGGTAGGATGAGACATAATATGAACACAATTAGGAGCATCAAGCATACAATTGGAACTTACGAAATGAGGAAGGTCACTCTAAGTTGCTTTGATGATAAAAGGTATATCTTGGAGGATGGAGTTACCAGTTATGCTTATGGTAACAAAAATATAAAAAATAGTGACTGAGAAGTTCCCACAGAGTAGAAAGTAATAATCCTAAAGGGTAAATAAGCAGGAAGGGCCCCCTGCCTTGTGTACCCTCAGGAGTGAAATAAAAGATGTTGAATAGGCTTTGGAATAAAGGAATTGAATGAGATTGGTGGAGTTGAAATTTGAAGATTTAAGAGAAGTGAATCGTTTTAATTTTGTTAGAAAATCTAGCGCTTAGAAAACCAATATGGTCTAGAAAATAAAATCATGATTAAAAAATTCAGATTGAGCCAGACGGATTTTCGTTCACGGAAAAATGGTCGGAAATCTGATCATGCTCATTAGCATAAAAAATGGTCTAGAAACCTCAGTTCCTATACTACTGTGACACCTAATGCAAACGAGCTCAAACAATGAGTTTAGGTTATTGTATCCATTTATTTATTTATCAGCTTTATTGGACACAGTATTATTTAATAGTAGAAATATTTACAAGTTTTACGTCCAAAGGGGATAGCGCAAACGGGAGAATGGGAGCCATGCTGGGCGCAAACCCTAAACTAATATTAAACTAGTAATAGTGCCCCCCCCCAAAAAAAAAACAACCCTATACTATACAAATATATATATAATATAAAATGCAGATTAAGAACGGTGGCAGGGGCAGTCTCTTGTGAGCGACCAGGTGCATGCCATAACAACATTAAAAGTACTGTTGACCAACGCCGTGTATGTCACATGCAGAAAGCTTTCAAAAATAGTTAAGCTGGCGAACTTTTCAGGAGAGGCTATGTATGGGCATATAATGCGAGAATATGCATGAGGAAAGGACAAAGGAAATCACAACAGTGAATATTAGAAAGTTTTAGCTTCGCGTTATACGGCAAACGGCAAACGCCGGCCGCAAAGAAAAATTTTACGGTATCAGGCAATAAAGAGTAAATGAACTTGCTGTTTTAAAACTGCAATGCATGACTATTCTTTCGACACAAGAAAGAAAATATGAAACGAAAACGTTTAACGGAACTTTGCGAAGAAAGTTCGAATCTGCCGTTTGCCGTTCCCGGAAACACGACTTTTAAACTTCCTATTAATTTTATACATGTGATAAAAAATCATATTAATTTACATAAACTTTAACTTTGATTTTCTCGGCTTAGACAACGTTGATTTTTAAATTACTCTGCGCGGCCAATGAACCCATAAAACAACTCGCTTTTTTTCGTTTTTAAATACGGCATAATGCTGTTGTGGTATCGCTTGTGATAATATATGATTTTTAATGTGTATGCGTATCAAGCTATATCATCTCTGAAAAAACGTCTGTACTCTAACGGGAATCGGACAACGTAACTGGACAGACGCTTTAACCATTGCGCTATACAAGGTCTGTATGGTTTAGTCAAGCGGAAACAAACCATGTTTATTGGCAACTGTCTTGTTGTTTCGTAACAATATCAATAGTCACGACCTTGGTTGCTACATGTGTAAATCTATCAAAATCACTGAAGATGTGCTATATGCAAAGCCCCTTGTACGTCGTGTGCAGACTCCTCCAGGCAATGATATTACAGGAAGGCAAGTCTGGGCGGAGGCAAAATACCACAAGCCTAAGACATACAGCATCTAGTGAGGAAAGTGATAGAAGTTACGAGAGCAATCCGCCAATCCTACGAGAGGAATCTTAATCGGTCTGGAGTTTATTACGAACTTATATACAATATCTTATATTCTATTTTATTTTAGTTAAAACATTGTTGGAACACTCATGAAACTTCTTAAATTAACTTAGAGCTGGAAATGTCGGCCCTCGTAACAATTGTTGACTGCCAATGAACTCTCACCAACACTCATCCACATTTGATAGGGACTTGGCTTCTTGTGTTAATCTATCATTCCCAGCGTTGATGGATGGTGCCGAGGGCGGGGAAGAAATACACACTCATCTACCTCTCTTTGTGTGTAAAACTCTGCTACATTACCCCTAAGTGTTGATCCAGAAGCAACATACATCTGACTGTCCCGGAGAGAAAATAACGTCATTTCATAAAACCTGCGCCAATGCCAATGGACACAACAAAATATATAGGGTAAGGTATAGCCAACACTCAATGTTTATTAGGTATCACATAGGTATTTCAATTAATTAAGGATGTCCAAAAGCAAAGCGGAAAAGTCGAATACGAGCGTAAAAGGCTGCTGGGAACCGCTTTGAAAATTCATTAATTTATTAGCGATTCCCAGCAGCCTACATGTAATTTCGCGCTCGTATTCGACTTTTCGCTTTGCTTATGCATGCATGGACAACCTTAAATGAAATAGCTGTATTCGTTTTTATGGATTATATATACGAAAGGATTATGCAATCCGCCAATCCCATGCATCTATTTTCGGGAAATTTAGACAGTCCGTCATATGAACTAGTGAGCTCACTCGTCAACGACCGGTCACGCATAGTTTATCACACTTCCTGACAAACTTCATGTATAGGATTTGAAATATGGTTTCAATAATTCAACTTGTATCATGTCGTTTGTGACGAACAATCGCTAAAGCGAAAAGCACGAATTGTAATTCCATTTCGCGATATTTATACGGACGCTTCCACACTTATCCCATACCTGTGTTAAAAGCGGCTTTCTGATTGGTTTAGAGCAGGTGAGCTTGTCGTCGAGCTCACCTGCTTTTTGCCGAGCTCACCTGCTTTTCGCCCGAACTCACCTGCTAAACTGCTTACGTTGCAATAACAATAACAAATATGGCGGACAAGATTTAGCCGATAAACCTAAACTTTAAAGAACTTTTTTCGGTGACTAACATACTGAGACTGAAGAAAAACCAAAGAAAAAATGCAGTAAAGGTAATGTAGACGTAGATAAAGAAGTATTTTCTTGCCCAGTGATTTTTTTGGGCGGGAAAATGTTCACAAAACATCGACGAATATATCGCGAAGAGCTACAAATGTGTGTATGGCTCGGCGTATGGGATAAAAACCAAACGTACTTGCAGGTTCGGTGAGTCCGGGATTGGACGCACCTTGGGTGGCTGGAAGTTTCCCGAACTCACCTCGCTTCGCTCGGTAAGTTCGGGAAACTTCCAGCCACCCTCGGTGCGTCCAATCCCGGACTCACCTCCCTGCAAGTACGTTTGTTATAGAACACGAACACGAACACACGAACACACGAACACACAAACACAAACAAACTTCAGTCAAACAATAGAAAACATTTTAGAGAACATAATATACGAGCAAGTGCTCACTTTCGTGGATTATAACAAAATTATATCAAACCAATTGCAACAGTCGGACGTCCGTCCGGGGCACTCCACATAGAAACTTCCCTTTTAAAATCAGTGAATCAATGGCAACTAAATATTGACAAGGGAACATTATTAATAAATGGCATATTATTTTTAGATTTTCAGATCTGTCATTGATCATCATAATAAAGAGCCATGGTCCAATTACGTTTACTGAGGGACACCATAAGACACCGTCCTCCATTCACAAATGCATGCTCGTATTTCGATATGATGTCTATCCGTTAGAAAATCGATGACACAGTTAGTCACGCTATGGGGTAAACCAGGTTTACATAACTTCTTAATCATTATCTTGTCGTCGATGTACTCGAATGCTTTGCGATAATCAAATAAAATTGTCCGTATTTTGCATGTACGTACGAACCTGATCTTGTTTGGGGGCACAGTATAGTTTGCCCGAACAGGCAAACTAAACATTAATATTTCTCCCCAAAATTGTTGGCGAGCGGGGGGAGGGGGTCACCAAAAAATGCTTCCATTCCTGTCGGTTCCAATGGACCATTGTATCATATCTATAAGCGCTTGAATTCTGGACAATTTTGGTACTTTACCATATTGGTTCGATCCTACGACTTTCAGAATTGCCGGTTTCACGTAAGCAGCCACAACAAAATCTTCAGCTAATTTGAAAGCTAAGCATACGTTGCGAGGATAATTGTTCTGAAGGACCTAGTAAATCTGCAACGTACAACTTTCAATTTAGGCAAAGGAGACACATTAACCATTTTCCAGATATTTGGTAATATTTGCTGACGATATGGGATGCTTTAATAATCTGCATTATAGGAAATGCTATTAGTTCGCTAAATTCTCTCAGTAAACAAATTCGGGATGTTGTCAAGACTTGCTAAGTCTTTCTAACGATTGTGTAATTCTAATCTTGGAAACTTACAGAAAAACAGCGTGTTCCTCTAACGGCAGTTTTGTAAGCGGAGCGGTGACACGATATTATTGTTGTGATTGAAGATATGCTTCATTAATTCTATTTGCATTTTCACGTTTTGGTAATAAATTAAAACCATCAATATCAATCTTGCTTGCTAGATTACCATCGGAAATTATACAACTGTATGTATTCTGTATAAATAGTTAAGGTTATCCGTAAAGGAGTGTTCAGCTCTGAGGGTATATAACCTGTCATTTATCTGACAAAGATTGTAAAATAAAATAAAATAAAATCAATGTTACGTATGGAACGAGGATGAGAGTGCATATATGAGAGTTGGCAGTCACGCGACCTTGGTTATGGCTGTATTTGATGTTCTCCCAACAATATCGTGTTAGCATTGTTAAAACACTCATGAACTTTGTTAATTTAGAGCTTGAAATTTCCCATGTAAAAATGCGTGGTTGCCAAAGAACTCTCATTAACACTCATTCTCGTTTGACAGAGATTTCGCTTCGTGTTAATTTATCATTCTGAGCGTCCATGCATGGTGCGGAGAGCCGAGCGGAGGGCGAGGAAGAAGTCCGCGCTAACTAATTCTTCATCCATAACTCTCCAACATTACCTACTGTGTTGATCCAGTAGCAGTTGTACTAGCTATACATCTAAAATGCTTCGGACGAGAGAAAATAACATTTTCATGAAACCTTGATGTCTGCATGTCCGTTAGAAACTCGATGACTCAGTTAGTCACGCTATGGGGTAAACCAATCTTACATAGCTTCTCAATCATTATCTTGTATAGACAATGTACTCGAATGCTTTGCGATAATCAAATAAAATTCTCCGTATTTTGCTTCCATTCCCGTCGGTTACAATGGACCAATGTTTTATATCATATATAGATATTGGGTTGTGGACGATTTCGGTACCACACCATATTGGTTCGATCCAACGACTTTCAGAATTGCCGGTTTCACATAAGGAACCACAACAAAATCTTCAGCTAATTTGAAAGCATACGTTGCGAGAATAATTGGTCTAACGGCCCTATAGTTAAATCTGTAACGACCTTCAGTTTAACCAAAGGAGACACATTGGCCATTTTCCAGATATTTAGTGGTAATATTTGCTGAAGATATCGATTGCCGCTTTAATAATCTGCATTATAGGAAATGCTATTAGTTCGCTAAATTCTCTCAGTAACCAATTCGGGATGTTGTCAAGGCTTGTCAGTCTTTTTAACGATTGTGCAATTCTAAACTTGGAAACTTGCTCAAAAACAGGGTGTTCCTCTAACGGCAGTTTTGTAAGCGGAGCGGTGACACGATATTATTCTTGTGATTGAAGATGTTTTGGTAATAAATTAAAACCATCAATATCAATCTTGCTTTCTAGATTACAATCGGAACTTCTATGTATTCTGTATAAATAGTTAAGGTTACAATAAAGGAGTGTTCAGTTCTGAGGGTATATAACTTGTCATTTATCTGACAAAGATTGTAAAATCAAATCAAATCAAATCAATGTTACGCATGGAACGAGGTTGAGAGTGCATGAGAGATGGCAGTCACGCGACCTTGGTTATGGCTGTATTTAATGTTCTCCCAACAATATCGTGTTAGCATTGTTGAAACACTCATGAACTTTGTTAATTTAGAGCTTGAAATTTCCCCTGTAAAAATGCGTGGCTGCCAAAGAACTCTCATTAACACTCATTCTCGTTTGACAGAGATTTCGCTTCGTGTTAATTTATCATTCCAGTAGCAGTTGTACTAGCTATACATCTAAACTGCTTCGGAGAGAAAATAACATTTTCATAAAACCTGCGCCAATGCCAATGGACACGACAAAATACGTAGAGTAAGTTATATAACCAACACTCAATGTTCATTAGGTATCAGATAGGTATTCGGCTTGACTTCATTGAACGGTATACGTTTTCTAGCCCGGCGCAACATTTCATTATTGATTTGTACAAAGAAGTAGAGGACTATAAATAAAGTATCCAAAATCATGCATTATACGTCAACCAAAGGAGATGTAGCCAAATGGTCAATTTACTTCCAAAAAGTTTAATCATTAATTCGAATCATTGAAGAAAGTTAAAACCAAACATTTATAGGTTCAGCAAAATACATTTTGATCTTTGAAAACGGCTACAAGATATGTTCGTCAAGTATTAACTGAGATTATGTGAAACATATATCTTTTGTGCCTCCTGCACTTTTGAAGATAAACTTAATGAGTTTTGAAATACAATACTTACTTTATTGAACGACGACTTTACTATATTCTGTCTGATGAGAAAATTGGCAGTTGAATCAATAGACCTGTATTGTAGCTGCAGAATATAAGGCGGCTATATTCGTTTCTATCGATTATATACAAAAGAATTATACGCAATCCCGTGACTAACATCAAGCAAAGGTCGAAATTCATCTATTTTTGGAAAGGTTACACAGCCCGTCATATGACCTGTGCTAATTTATTAACGACCGGTCATGCTTAGTTTAGCATACTTCCTGACAAATTTGCATGCATATGACTTTGAAATATGGTTTCAACAATTCGACTTGTATCAGTCATGTCGTTTGTGACGAACAATCGCTAAAGGGAAAGCACGAATTTTAATCTCATTTCGCGATATTTATACAAACTCTTCCAGACAAACACAAACAAACTTCAGTCAAACAATAGAAAAAAAATATAGAGAAAATAATATATGAGCAAGTGTTCTCTTTCTTGGATTATGACAAAATTATTTCAAAATATTTGAATTTTGGGATAGGTAATAGGACCTCTACATGCGTCTTGGACCTGTAGTTTACTTATATTTTATAATCATTATTCATTTAATGGATTTCTTATATTTTCGACGGGGTCTTGAAATAGACCATCCCGTGAAATATTGTGTAAAAGGTGCACGCGTGTAATGCGTGCGTTGTTTTGTGTATTTTTATGTAAATCCATTGTAGAAATATCGTAATTGAAGTTAGCGTGTATTGTATGGAAAGTTATTACTTGGTAATTGACAGGTGTGATTTGATGATGCACATGAATATATCAATATCACAGTATGGTCAAATCCGGCCCTGTGATAAATTCATGTGCATCATCAAATCACACCTATCAATTACCAAGTAATAACTTTACATACAATACACGCTAACTTCAATTACAATATTTCTACAATGGATTTACATAAAAATACACAAAACAACGCACGCATTACACGCGTGCACCTTTTACACAATATTTCACGAGATGGTCTATTTCAAGACCCCGTCGAAAATATAAGAAATCCATTGGATGAATAATGATTATAAAATATAAGTAAACCACAGGTCCAAGACGCATGTAGAGGTCCTATTACCTATCCCAAAATTCAAATATTATAAATATTGATGAGAATATAATAAACGGTGCATTATTTTTAGATTTTTAGATCTATCATTGATCATCATAATATAAAGAGCCATGGTCCCAATTTCGTTTCCTGAGGAACACCATAACGCACCGTCCCCCATTCAGAAAAGCATGCTCATTTGCTAGTTTAACTCGTTGATATATGACCGTTAGGAAATCGATGACTCAGTCACGCTATGGAGTAAACCAAGTTTACATAGCTTTTCAATCATTATCTTGTATAGTCAATGTACTCGAATGTAAGCTTTGCAATAATCAAATAAAATTGTCCGTATTTTGCTTCCATTCCCATCGGTTACAATGGACCAATGTATCATATTTATAAGCGCTTGGGTTGTGGACGACTTCGGTACCACACCATATTGGTTCGATCTAACGACAATTGCCGGTTTTACATAAGGAACCACAATGCAACAAAATTATTGGTCTAAAGGCCCTAGTTAAATCTGTAACGACCTTCAGTTTAAGCAAAGGGAACACATTGGTCATTTTCCAGATATTTAGTGGTAATACTTGCTGAAGATAATTATAGGATAATTTAATTATCTGCGTTATAGGAAATGCTATTAGTTTGCTAAATTCTCTCAGTAATCAAATCGGGATGTTGTCAAGGCCAGTTCAGCCTTTTTAAAGATTGTGCAATTCTAAACTTGGAATCTTTCTCAAAAACAGGGTGTTCCTCTAACGGCAGTTTTGTAAGCGGAGCGGTGAGACGATATTATTCTGGTGATTGAAGATATGCTTCATTAATTCTATTTGCCTTTTTATTCACGTTTTGGTAATAAATTACAACCATCAATATCAATCTTGCTTTCTAGATTACAATCGGAACTTATATGTATTCTGTATAAATAGTTAAGGTTACAGTAAAGGAGTGTTCAGTTCTGAGGGTATATAACCTGTCATTTATCTGACAAAGATTGTAAAATAAAATAAAATAAAATCATTAGCTGAATTCATATTAGAAGACGGATTTCAGTATAAGACGGGAAACTCGTGTGACGGATTTCCGTCTGGTATAAGTATGAAACGAAAACCATCGAACGGATAAACCCGAAAAAATAGGAGACCCTTCATCCCTTTCTCTTTTGAACGTTGCGAGCAGAAACCCGTCTTGATTTATTCGTCTGACATAAATTTAAGACGGATTGAAGACGGATTTCGTCTAAGACGAGAAACTCGTCTAACTTTCCCGTCGTTCAGACGGTAAAGTTAGACGGAAAAGTTGAGACGGAAAGCCCGTCGTTAACCGAATTTATATCAAGACGAGTTTCTCGTCTAAGACGAGTTTCCCGTCTTAGACGGAAATCCGTCTTCTAATATCAATTCAGCTAATGTTACGCATGGAACGAGGATGAGAGTGCATGAGAGTTGGCAGTCACGCGACCTTGGTTATGGCTGTATTTAATGTTCTCCCAACAATATCGTGTTAGCATTGTTTATTTATTATTTATTTATTTATTTATTAACTTTACAACCAAACATAAAATAGATTAAACCACTACATAATATGGTTGATGGTATGGTCAACAGGACATGAATATCCCCATGTGAAGACCAACCTTAATGAAAACAAACTATAACAAACATAAATCAAAGGCGAGAACAAATATACAATTTACAGAAAACATGACGAATTACGAACAACAGCTTAAGTTGAAAGAGCGGCACTTAGAACAGAATGTTTTCCAAGTGCGCATTCTGTTTACATCGAAAGATGAATGAAGTAGAGAAGAGTAATGAACAGTTAGTCTGTTTTTAAAGGAGGAAACGGATGAACTATTACGAATGGTGGGAGAGAGGTCATTCCAGAGAAAGACAATTCGGTTGAAAAAAGAGTTCTTAAAGAGAGAAGTCCTGCAATGATTAACATGAAGCAAGTTGTCCAAACTTGAACGGGTGTGAGACGAGCTGTTTGAAGAAAAAGTGACGAAAGAGGAGATATCTAGGCCGAAGATCCTGAAGGATAAATTTACTAGCTCGTCTTTGAACACCCTCGATGATCGCAAGATCACGTGACGATCCTTGAGGTGCCCAGATCTCACTACCATATGACAGATGAGATCGGACGAGAGCAAGATAAAGAAGCCTACGGCAGCGAATATCAGACATTTGCGTACAATTGCTACGAAGAAAACCAAGCATACGATTGGCTTTTGCAGTGCAGCTGGCGTTGTAAGGGGACCACTTTAGTTCATTGCTGATAACAACACCCAAGTCTATTTGGTTAGCTATGCTCTTAACTGGATCGTTGTTAAGAAAGTAGCAATGAGTTGGAGGGTTACGTTTGCGGGATATCTTAAGTAGGAGCGTCTTCGAGACATTAAATTTCATTTTCCAGTTAAGTGACCAGTTGGACATAGCGTCCAGGTCAAGCTGAAGGAGACCACGATCAACTGGTGATCGTATAGCACGATAACACTTGCTGTCATCAGCAAAAAGTGCAACGGTACTATTATTGGTTACCTCTGGAAGGTCATTTACATAAAGAATAAATAAAAGTGGACCTATTACACTACCTTGTGGCACCCCAGAGGTAACATTAAGAAAAGATGAGGAAGCTCCTTCAACGACAACACACTGTTTGCGATCACGAAGGTAATCAGCAAACCAGTTAAGAAGTGGACCTGAGATTCCAAACGATTTAAGTTTGAACAAAAGTTTGCTATGGGACTCCGAGTCAAACGCTTTAGCAAAGTCGAGATAAATCAGGTCTGTTTCCTTTCCAGAGTCAAGAGTACGACCAAGGTCGTGAAGTACACTCAAAAGTTGAGTAACACACGACCTTTTACAGCGAAAGCCATGTTGAAGGTCGTACAAGGATTTTTCAACAAAAGAAGAAACCTGACTGAAAATTAAACGTTCGAGAACTTTTGAGACTTGAGAGAGTAAGGAAACTGGTCTGTAGTTAGTGACCTCATGAGTGTCACCCTTTTTGGGTATAGGCACGAAATTAGCAGCTTTCCATTCAGAAGGAAAAACACCCCGCTGAAGAGATAACTCAAAGAGAGCAGTCAAAGAAGGGGTAATTACCACAGAACATCGCTTTAGAAGGTAAGCTGGAATACCATCTGGACCAGTAGCCTTAGAGGGTGACAAATTGGACAACAAAGACTGAACATCGGATTCAGATACATTTAATGAGTCAAGAGAGTTAGAAGCTGAACTATAGGGAGTGAAAAGAGGTGAAGAACTTGTGTCGGAGGTGAAGACTGACGTAAAAAATTGGTTAAAGCCATCGGATTTTTCCTTTGCAGAAAAAAGTTTCTGACCTTCCAACTTCATCACGTCAGGGATCGAAGATTTCGAGGATTTACATTTAAAGAATCTCCAGAATGATTTAGGGTTATTATACACATGTTCGGACAGTCCAGAGAGATATTCTCTCTTCTTGGAATTTATCCAACACTTGACGTGTTGCCGAGTTTTGCGGAATTTCTTCCAAAGTTCAGGCGAGTTCTTAGCCTTTGCCTTTCTTCTTAGTGACTCTTTCATCTTAATAGCGTGAAGTAAGTCCTTGGTGATGTATGGTTAGTGTAAAGGAACGCTTGAGCTTTGTTTTGGGGATGAAATGGTCAACAGCGGCAAGGAAAGCTTCCTTCCACTTAGCCCAGGCAAGATTAACGTTGTTACTTTCGTTGAAGACTATATCAACTAGTGGAGTGTTCCTTAGACTGTTAAATAGGCCAACGAAATCACCCTTAGCATAATTATAGACCACACGTTCGGAGGATTGTTTAGGTTGATGATGGAGTTTTAGGTCGAAAAATATAGCTTTGTGATCAGAGGGTAGAGAGATGGAGTCGTCATCAGTAACTTCAAACTTGTCGGTCAAATGTTCATTTGTAGTTAAAACCAGGTCGATGAGGTTGTTACCGCGGATAGGTGAGTTAATCAATTGCAGATAACTAAACTCAGTGATGCTGTCAATGAAACTAGTTTCTGAAGCTGAAGTAGAGAAACCTGAACCGTTAGACCATTGGACATTAGGGTAGTTGAAGTCGCCAATTAGAACAACATCTTTGAATTGCGATTCTTGGACAAATTTTAAAAAGCGGGTTAGTTCATTTAGGAAAACATTAGTGGAGTCAGGTGGACGGTAACAGACAGCAACAAGTACTTTACAAGACGAGAAGATAATAACCAGAGATACAAGTTCCAACGAGTCTGAAACGAAGCCAGAAGGTTCAGTTTTGACTGTATCTTTTACGGCAAGCAGAACACCACCGCCCTGTTTACCAGTTCGACGATCTCGCCGAAATAGCTTGTATCCAACAGGCAAGATTTCATCATCACGCACATTGACAGTGAGCCAAGTCTCCACCAAAGCAATCACATCTACACTGTTGCCATAAACAATGTCATGTAGATATGAAAGCTTATTCACGACGCAATTAGTTGTAGGGTTACGATGATTCGCCTTCAGACTTCTGACGTTCTGATACAGAACATTAAACGAAGAACGGGATCTAGGATTGGTAAGTCCTCGCACATTAGGTGATGATGTAGAAATGCTGCAGTCAGGACCGAGATTAGTAGAAATGTCATTAGATAAAGATATAAGTATCAGGGAAATGGAAAAGTTCATGGCAATATGAAGTCCACGGGTTAGTTTCATATCTGACGAGAGAGGCTTGGTGGAGGTTCAGCGACGATTAATACGAGACAGGGGCGCACATAAAAAAAAAATTTGAGGGGGTGTCCTATGTTCTGGGACCGACTTTTGTAGTCTTTGTGTTTGGTAAGAAAAGCCAACTATTTAAAGCGCAATTTGTTCTTGAATATTTTCTAATAATTGCTTAATAATATACTTATTTCACAGTACATTTGTTTTCTTCAATGAGATATTAATATGTTTTCTGATTTTCTCATCGCGCATTGACTGGAAGCCTGGTACCTAGTTTACGTGTGAGGGCGCAAAGCTTCATGGGATAGCGTCATTTTAAAATTGCAATTTCAAATTACTCGCACATGGACGGATTTGAAGGGAAATTTTCCCTTATATTTTCAACCCAAACGATGGAAACGGCATTCGAAAGTTCTTAAAATGTTATTCAGATCTCACAGGTAAGAATATTTTCATGTTTGATGCTATTTAAGCACTTTAATTCCGAAATAATGTAGTGAATTTGAGTCATGTGTGAAAATATTCCGTTGAATGTTTGAATTTGCCGCGTCAATTTGCATAAAACATACAAAATTTCGGTTTCTAGCGATGGAAGAAAGAATAAAATATGAATTCGAATATATAGTATTGGGAATTCTATACTAAATTACGCACTGTTGTTTAATTATAACAATCCACAATATAAAGTGTCTTTGCCTTTGGCATAATTTGGCACTGCTAGACGACCTTTGTCAAAGTATATGAAATATGTTAATATTATTAAGATATGTTATCATTTTAATACTTGAAATATAAGTATTGATGTGATATTTTCAGTGTGTTGAAAGCTGCAAATTGCAGCACATTATTTGCCCAAAATTCAAATTTGGGAATGGGTTAATGAGCTTCAGGTGTATAAAATGATATGTTTGTAAAGCTGGAATAAGCACTATAGTCACTAGCTAGCAAGACAAAGCCTCAAATGTTGTCCTTGTACATTTTTAGATTAAATATTGCAGCTGGGCTATAGCCCGGCTCAAAATATTGTTCTCAACAGTTGGAAATTTCTGGATTGAGTTGACAAACTGGTGTTGTGAGGTAAAAATAGCACTGTCCAAGTTTATTTCAATTGATACAGAATATCGTAGCCTTGCCTATAGCCAGACTAGTCTTCTTAATTAGTGCTTTATATGAAGAAAATAATATACTGGCCTAGCTAAAGTGGCCCCCCCAAGCCAGACAAATCAGTCTGGATCTTGTAAACACCCTTAAGCTGGGCCGTGGCAACTGGTATGTGTTTAATTGAGTTAATTGGAATGTAACTTATTCGTGCACCGGACAAGGAAGTTGATCATTTTTTGTGTGCACCGATTGGTTGTCTAGCCGGTCGAAAATTTGTGCACCACCAAATTTTTCACTTCGAATCTCGAGTGCTCCAAATCTCGTGCCGATTGCCAAAGGCATGAGAGGAGCTCTGAAGGCGCGAGATACCTGGAGGGGGGTACAGGAGCATGCACTCCCGAGAAATTTTTAAATTTAAAGTCTCTGAAATGTCATTCCTGGACTTTGACGGAAGATTTTACACGAATTCTGATGGTCAGAAAACAACATTATAAAATCGAAATTTACATTTTTCTCGGAAAGTCAATTTTTCTCGGAAAGCCTTCGAAATATTATTCAACTCAAAGTTTCAAGTGGTCAGCAGTATTTCAGAGTACTTCATTTAGTTTACGTATATTGGATCCTGGATCCATAGATCAAAAGGGAATATATTGTCCAAAGCGGCAAAGCCTACCGTACTCAGGTCTACACATTCCAGATACTTTCCAGAAATAGGTTTTACTAACTTTTGCTGTTAAATCTATTTGATGAATTAATATTGGGAATCCTGAATTATGCACCAGTGCGCCACCCTTAGTTAACTTGTTATGTGTGCACCAGATGTGCGCCACAGATTACTATTGTAAAATCTTGTGCACCAGATTGTGCACCAATGAAAGGCGTTGTGCACCGGACATGTCCGGTGCACAACACTTACATTCCATACTGGCTGACAGAGTAAATACTAAATTTACACTGCAGACGATGAGATGGAGTAAGCGTTAGACAGTAAATACTAAAGTTGGGCATATGAGGTACATGAAAAGGTTAATCCATTGAGCAAAACTGCTATCCCCTTGAAGAGTAAAGTTGTCTGGTGTTAGACAGAGTAAAATAATAAAGTAGGATGCAATGAAACTTAATGGGTAACATTTACTTATTTTTCATTTTTGTATAGTAATGCCATGCCTAACAGATATTGTTTCCAACTTGGAAGAGCAATTACGACTCTTGCAAAATGGCATATGCATCAATGATGACCACAAGTATTAACAATGATGAACACAAGGATTAACAATATTGTGAAAAAAGAAAGTATCTACACGTAACAGTAACATTGACACTTATTCTAATAAGAATATTCACTAAATAGAATAATCCTACAACAGTTTGACTAGCCCAATGTTTATTTTTAAGTTCTTGCATAGTTGTTTTGTTTTGTGGACAATATGCCACGTACATTGGTTCTGTTGGCACTTGGCATCACTTAATTTTAATTTTAGCCTGGATATTTACATCTGTTTATACATACTTAATATTGAAATCCAGGCACATTGAAATCTTTGCTGCAAAGTTTATGTAAGTGATATTCTCCACCAAATAAAATTGCTATAATTGTTTCCAGGCATGAGGCAGTTGTATCTTGCAGCTGCTGACTACTTTTCAAATACCCATTTCCTACTGTAGTTCAATGGTAGCTATAAACATATAATTCTGATCATGGTTAACTAGCTGTTTCACTAATGTATAGTTAATAATTAAACAAGTTCTTTATACAATGGTAATTGTGTTTTAATAAATGTTTCTTAATAGAAACTTTTATAAATCTTATAGAATCTAATACAGAATGTTATATAGAATATTCCATACCTTCTATAGAATATTGTATAGAATTCAACTTAATGTTCTATAGAATATTCAGTAGAATATTCCATATAATATTCCATAGAACTTTCTATAGAATTTTTTATAGGGCATACAATGGTAATTGTGTTTTAATAAATGTTTCTTAATAGAAACTTTTATAAATCTTATAGAATCTAATACAGAATGTTATATAGAATATTCCATACAATTCTATAGAATATTGTATAGAATTCAACTTAATGTTCTATAGAATATTCAGTAGAATATTCCATATAAAATAGGTTCCAAAATCCTTTAGAATATTTCATAGAATATTCTATAGAATTCAAATGAATATCCCATAGACTATCTAATATTCCATAGAACTTTCTATAGAATTTTTTATAGGGCATTCTATAGAATATTGTATAGAATTCAACTGAATGTCCAATAGAATATTTTCATAGAATATCCCATAGAATAGGTTCCAAAATCCTTTAGAATATTTCACAGAATATTCTATAGAATATTTCAATGTAATATTCTATAGAATATTTTTGTAAGAGGCTACAACTACTGCTACTTTTGAACAAAGGTAGTTCGCTACTGACTACAGCTACTGCTTAAAAAATGTAGCGAACTATTTCGCTACTCTATATTTTCTAGTTTTACGGTATTTGGAGTCGATCCACTAGCTCAGGCTATAATACAACCTATAACAAATCGACTTACGAGTAGCAACAGTAAACAAGAAAGGTCAAAGCAACATTTTTGTAAGCACTACAGTGTTCAGGAGTGCCACTTTTCACTGCGCTAAAATAATCTTTACTGTGTAAAATAATCTTTTAAGCAAACCATGCATGTCTTAATATCATTCTATTCTATGAACGGTTGCTAACAATTCTAAAAAGTAGCGAACAGCGATTCGCCGTTTGAAAAGTAGTCAACTACTTGGCTACTTTTAGGCAAAATGTAGTTCGCTATAACTACAACTACTGTTTTAAAAAAGTAGTCAAAAACTACTGGTTACTTGAAAATTGTAATTTGCTACAGTAGCGAACTACAACTACTTTGCTACTACCCACCCTTGATTAGAACCTTTATTTTGGTGTTGGTTGCAATAATGCACCCTTTCGGTAATTGCTTTACAACTACACTGTTTTCAGCTTAGGACCATCTTAAATGGAAAGGATTTCAAGTTTTTTTTCTCATGGGCTATGCACAGAGAAGCAGAACATATTCCTTCTTCAACACATGCGCGAAAAACGAAAGAAAATTTGGATTTTGATCATTAAATATTTATTTAAATTATTTCCCCCAGTAGTATTTACAAGAATAGTAATTATGTAAAATAATTAATGTAAGGCCTAGAGGTCTACTAGAAACCTGGACAGGCTTTTGAATTTTTTATTATTTTTTTTATTTTTACAAGTTTGCCATTGCAATAGATCTATATAGAGTACTATGGTTACAAATGACTGGAATTTCCACACAGAGATAGTTCTCCAATAACGGGGTTCCGAAAACGAACAACTAAATTATGGTATATATAATTATTTCGAAGTTAAAGCAAACATAACAATTAAACACAAATACAAGAAGACAAAGCAAACATATTGACGAACAAATTAACGAACAAAAACTAAATTTAGCAACATGTTTGAGTTGATAAGTTCATTAGTGGGCGAGTGGTGTGACATTTAATACACACAGACTTAAATGTTCTTGGATCTTCAGGATCATAAATTTGTTGGGTTAATTCTACGTAGTATTTCATTAGATTACATTTAAATGTAGTTAGAGATGTGGTGGTACTTCTTATGAAGCCGGGAAGCGTGTTCCATACATTAGCAGCTCTGATGTAAAAGCTGTTTTGAAAAGAAACAGTTTTACTTTTGGTTACATGAAGTAGGATGCCGTTAGTTGAACTAGTATTCCTTGTTTCTCGTGTAGGGATCTTTATAGATATGTTTTTGTCAGAGTTATTTTTAAGGCATTTGTGAAGATACGCCATATCTAAATACTCATGCCAATAACATAGAGGGAGGATTTCGATGGTAGCCAATCGTTTCTTATACGGGATAGATGTTTTGTATAGGAGCGAAAGAATAAATTTTGATGCATGTCGCTGCAACCGTTCGATCGTTAGGATGTTGTTGACAGTTTGGGGTCCCCACACTTGACTACTGTAAGCTAGCTGGCTTCAAACGATGGTCAAGTACAGTATCTTTCGAACTCTTTTATCGTGAATGCCGGATGCTGTTCTCTTGACAAAACCCAGCATTTTGTTAGCTTTTGAGGATAAGTCCTGCACGTGCTGGTTCCACTTCATATCTTTGGTGATACTTAAGAAAGAAGAATTAAGACCCCTAGTTAATTGATAAAGAATTGATTAACTAAATTATTTACAGTCAAATGTTTTAATAGAAGAAGAAAAATAATAAACGACAAAAGTACAAAATAACTAATACCTATAATTCCAAAAAATATACTTAAAAATGTTTTTATATAGGAGAGTGATTATATTTACTATATATACAGCTATCTAAGCTGTTACAAATAGAGATTTTTTCAATTTGCTTTTGAAGACAATCAATGAATTGATTGATTTTAAGCGAGTGTTAAGCTAATTCCAAATATCAACACCTTTACTAGCAAGCATCAAGAGAATGATTGACATAATTTGTTCTTCTATACTTTTTGTGAAGATTGGAAGCATTTCTAGTTAATTTTATAATGGTGAATGTCACTATTGTTTACAAATAGATTATTTAATATGATTGATAAATGTTCTGTTTGGTGGTAACGATACATGAATAGAAGAGTTAAATAATCATTGATTTTGGGAAGAGAGTATTTTCAAATCTTGAAAAATTGGATCAGTGTGATCAAAATTTGATTTAAATGACATTAAACGCACATTTTTTTTTTTGTATGCTGGAGTTAGTAACTTCTGAATTCGCTTTGTGTAAGTATTTCCCCAGACTAAATTGGCATAAATTAAATATGGATAGACTAAAGCATAATACACTAGTTTTAAAGTATCCAAATTTGCATACTGTCGAACTCGGGCTATAATTCCAGCGGTTTTTGTAATCTTTTTCGAGACTGAATCTATGTAATTTTTCCATGTTAAGTGTTCATCAATGTTAACCCCAAGAAATAATATACTTTTAACTTGATCAATAGGTTAATTTGTTGTTTATAGATATAGTTACACTATGATTAAGTCTCTTGGGGGATTTAAATAAAATAAATTTAGTTTTCTTAATATTTATTGATAACATATGGAATAAGCATTAACACGAAAACGGGGCTCGTTTCTCTGTCCATAGCCCATGAGAAAAAAACTTGGAATCCTCTCCATTTAAGATGGTCCTAAGTTGAAAACAGTGTAGTTGTGACGTAATTATCGAAAGCGTGTATTTCAAAAGCAGGACAATTCAAATCATTTGCTCCATAACTTGTATATATGACATGAAAATAAACAACTTATAAGTAGTTTATAAATGAAACAAAGTCATCTCCATGGATATATGGGATAGACTTGTGAAATTTAAATATATTCCAAATAAAATCATGAAAGACGAAATGTCCTTGTTTGTGCAGACATTTTGTTATTTTTCTGACACAAAGCAGTGACACGTCAGGAACCAAAACTGTCAAATCTTTTTTGCATGCCCGCTGTCTTTTGCTAAAAAAGAACCGTATACCGACCGAATCTTTCGGTTAACGCACAGCTCTAGATTTCAGAGAACATATGGTGCTGCACAGTACATGCGACAAAATTCAATCTTCGAGCAAGACAATCTCAGCTTGCAAAATACTTTTGGAATTTTCAAAAAATAAGTAAATTATATTAGCATTCCTGTATACAAGATGAGAAAAATGTGTCAAAAAGATATTTTGTTAAAAATTTCCTGTCAGCGGCACTGCTGCAGGTGCTGCCAGCCATTTTTCAGCACTGGATTAGTGTTCCTTAGCTTTTGGTTAGGGAAGGGCCAAATATATGTTTCTGTGAAAAGACGTGATATGACATTAAAGAACCCTGCCACGCTACCGACTTAGATGCTAAGCCTTAATGGTGGATAATTTTTCAGATCAGTTTCATAAGAACACTTTTAGTTAGCCCACATGCTTAAATGTTTCTTTTAAGAACTGTGAGATGGCTATATGGGAAAGTTCGCTTTCAAAAAGAATGTCGTGGTCAAGTTTATAATTAAAGGATTTGTTCTGAGGGATTTGTGAGATTCAGAGTTTTGCAACATTATTTTTGTGTATTTTTAATTCAGTGTCTTCAAGCATATAATTTCAGGAAAAAATCTGTCACGCCTATCATACAGATGTTTGTTTGACAGAAATATATATTTGACCCTTCTATATATATTTGAATTATATACATATATATATATATATATATATATATATATATATATATATATATATATATATATATATATATATTTACTTCCACAATATATACTTGAAAATAGCGCACATTTAAGTGCAACACTGCATGGCAGATTGTTTGATTAACCCATTTAAGCCCAAGACTCTCCTCTGACGAGTGAATTAGTTTGGAATTACACAGAGTAAAGTAATAACGTCCAGGGCTCATTTGAGCACACTGCAACTTTACCCTTTAAGTAGCAATGTGCCCTGATAAACCCTGCTTAATTATTATTTTACTCTCTCTAAAACCAGGCGATTTTACTTGTCATGGAGAGACTGCTGCCCATTGGGTTAACCACACTATCTGCCAATGCATTCTGACACTTTACTTAAGGGACATTAGGGACATTTATACAGGACAAAATAAGACGCGACTTACATAAGACGCGACTTAAATAAGACGCGAGTTTCTCGTATAAAAGGTACAAAATCTTATGTAAGTCGCATCTTGGATGACGGATTTTTAGCTGTTCTTATTTAAGTCGCGTCTTAAATAAGACATTTTGGATGAAAAGTCTAACTACACATGCCCGAAACTTGAAGCAACGTAAAATTATTAGCCTTGCATATTAAAACAAAAACAACCAAAACAACATTATAGCTATATAGCAAATAATAAAGACTTGAGCCGTAGAGAACCATTTATACGATAACTCCGCTTATATAAGACGCGTCTTATGTAAGTCGCGACTAATTTTGTCCCGTATAAATGGCGCTAATATAATGTGCCCTGCATGAACAACCTTATTTTATTATTTTAATTATGCCAGACAATTTTACTCATTGCTGCCCTCCAAATTGCACGGTTAGTGGGTTAAAATGACATCGAATGCCTATGCAGTTTTGGCCATGGCGCAACCTACACTAAAAGTGGTCTTCTAAATTATACACCATTGTATCAGAACAAGATCTAGAAGTTTGCTGTAATAATGTTGTTTTTATTTAACAGCATTATTCAAGTTTTGAGCCAAAACATGGTAAAGGCGGACGTTCGTCATTTAGTGGTGTGGTAGCAACTGTCTTTGGAGCAACTGGATTTCTGGGAAGATATGTCGTCAATAGATTGGGTGAGTTTATAATATTGTATCCCCCGATATAGGAGATCAGGGTGCGATAATTCAAATTTTTTAGCCGTACCTGCATGACTTATTACTTCTAAACTGGATAGCTGTAATTCTCTGCTATATGGGTTGCCAAAACTCATGATTGATCGATTACAAAATGCATGTGCAGCGCGTTTGATAGCAAGACGTAGAAAATTTGATCATATCACCCCTGTTATGAAAGAACTGCACTGGCTTCCCGTAAGCCAACGTATCATTTACAAGATACTTCTCATCACCTACAAAGCTCTGAATGGTCTTGCACCAAGCTACATTAGGGATATGCTACAACCGCACAAATCAACAATGAATCTACGTTCATCGATGAAAGGACTACTCTCAATACCCCCCATAAAGTTAGTCAACTATGGTCAAAGATCGTTTTCATATGCAGCACCATAGTGAATCAATATCTATTTTTAAAACAAAATTGAAGACATATCTATTTAAAAATTTTTATAAGTAATTGACACTAGTTTTACCAATTTTAACTATTGCTAGTTGTATCTATCTAACTGAATTTTTATCTTATTCACTTCTTATATTGACTTTTATATAGTAATTGTAAATAAATTTAAATTTTTAAATGGATTGATGTAAATATATTAAAATTTTAAATTTTCTAAATACTGTAAAGCGCCATTGAGCTATAGGAAATGGCGCTATAGAAATACATATTATTATTATTATTATTATTATGACTGGTACTCCAACAATTTTTGCCGCGTACTTGAGGTGGTACAAACTTAAGAGACAAGGTGTACCTGATGCTACTTACGAGTAAAAATTAATGAATTTTATTTATTTAATAAATACGTTTACTAGCTAGTACGCAATATATTACACATAAAACTAAATGCTCCACATTTATTCATTTGGCTAGTTCATGATAAACATTTTAATTGGATTGCCAATAACCGGAAATAAAACTTAAGATTTCCAACAGCCAAAAATGTTTCGATCACATTGAATGGTTTACTGGCCTAAAAGCAAAAACTATGGACAATTTTGTAGAAATAAATCGTTAATTAATGGTATTTGTACGACATAACATAACAATTTTCAAAGCGTTGTTGCGACTCGAATGCCATCGCTCATTTACCGATTAGATTTACCCAGGGTGCTAACAGCCTAAAGCCCGCCGCACACGAGAGTCTGTTAGCTCAGCCAAGAGCTCTCGTGTGCGGTTGATTTTCGTGAGGAATTCACCTCTCGAGGCTGTGAGGAAAATTTATATCTATCGTGTTTGATATTTTTCACCTCGCGAGGCAAAATTCTCACACGTCTGCGAAAATAAGCCAATGAAAACGCGTTGTTTCCTCACGTGAGAAGAAATCGCTGCTTCAATATGGCGTCAAACACAAGCGAGCAACTTAGTGAGCTGTTATCAGAGGAGAAACTAGTTGAAATATCAGCCGGATTACCCCTGTTTATATGATGTGAGGTCAGCAGAGTTTAAAGACAGAGATCGCCGACAACAAGCCATGGAGGAAATTGCTCGAAAAATTGCTCAAACGGTTTGTAAATTAACATTTTGATTTTATAATTCATACTGAACACGAAGTCGATATGAACATTTCGATAATTTCGGAATATCATACATCACGGCACATTGAAATATAGTCATAATTTAATATATTTCTTATGTTTTCTTACAACAGTCGATTGGGTTAAAAGTAAACTTAGACAACTGAGAAACAGCTTTACAAAAGCAAGGAAACCACCGCCGTCAGGCAGTGCAAGGCGAAACCCAACAAAACGAACATCCTGGATTCTTGATATACTTCAATTTTTAGACGCATATGTTGCTAGCAGACCAACAACATCTAACATGGAAGTGGTATGCCTGTTTTTAAACTAGTTAAAATACATATGATATAAACATGATGAACCATAATTGCATATATAAACATGTTTTTCTTATATAAAGGTTTATTTATGATACATGTTTTTAAAGACTGCACATGTAGTCTTGCCATGGAACAGAGCCATTTTCGGACACGAAATAATTTGTCAATTGTACTCGCTGTTCCTTTTCACTCTTTGACGAATTTCTAACTGATGTTGTTTGTATTCCATACAATTGTGTATCTCTTCTCCATTGACCAGGCGTGAACTGCTGATTATCGGTGTCTTCAATATCTTGACAGCTTGTGTAGTTGCTCATGTTGTTTGCAACCATAAAATTGTGCAGACAACAGGTTGCAAGAATAATGTCATTCACTTTTTCATGTCTGAGGTTGATAGTTGTGAGAAACACTCTAAATCGATTTGCCAAGATGCCAAATGCATTTTCAACCACTCTTCTTGCTCTTGATAATCGGTAATTAAACATTCGCTTTGGTTTATCTAGTTTTCTGTGTGGATAAGCCCTCGATAGTTTCTGGTGGTGGAAGATTTAGTGTTTTATTTGCCAGAGCTTTCTTTAAAGAACAATCTGCGAACACACCTGCATCTCCTGCCCGTCCAGTAGCTCCAACATTCACATATAAGAACTTGTAGTTGGCATCGACCAGCGCAAGAAGAAGGACACTAAAGAAGTGTTTATAATTAAAAAATTCTGAACCGCTATCTGTAGGTTGTTGAATTGCTATGTGCTTTCCATCTAATGCCCCAATACAACAGGGATAATTCCACTGTGCTTGGAACTCATCAGCAATTTTTGGCCACTCTTCTTCTGTTGATGGGGCCTATTAAAATAGTTTGATATTTGCTTTAGGTCTTCTTTTATTTTGCAAAAAAATAAATCATAGCACTTCATGTTGTGTGCAAGATTAGCTGTAACTAGATAACAAGGCTGACAAGAAGCCCAGGAGAGGGGGGGGGGGTTAGGGCAAAATACCCTACGAGTGCTCAGAGGGCCTGCTTTTGCCAGTCTTGTTAGATAATCTGTATATGTATGATACCTCACCATACACATTTGAGAAATAAAGTTTTGACTGTATACCTAATTAGTAAATCTCAAGTTCTTTATTTTGGCAAAAGTATATCAAAGTTGTTTCAAATTGTATTAATGTATTTTTAGAAACTATTTATTCAATAAGCTGCATTTTAATTCTTTATTAGGCAGATCCTATAACACCGACTGATGTAGCTGACAGTGATAATGATGAGAGTGGTGACATTTTGGCAGATCTTGATCCAGATGGTGATGATGATAATTTGCTTGATGATGTAAATGATACAACCACAGCTAGGCCAACAAAGCTACCTCTAAAATCAAGACCTAAATCCATGAAAAAGAAACTACAAGAGGAAGAATTTGAAGTCATGAAGGGATTGGCCTCTTCGATTGCTCAAAATAATAAGGAAAAGAAAAAGGCTAAACCTGAAGGAGGAGAGTCTGAAGCCTTTGGAAATTTTGTAATAGAGTCTATAAAAAAGCTAGACCCTACAATGCAGCACATTGTGCAGTATCATATAAATGATATTTTGTTTCAGGCCCAAATGGGAATGTTGGGGCAGGGTCAAACCCAAATGTCTGGTGCCAAACAGCAAAGTAGCCGTCAAGTACAGCAGTTCTCTCCTTGGTTGAACCATGATGAAAACATACTTAATTCCTGACACTTTTCCTGTGACTGTGTTTTTGTTCATTTAACAAGATGAATTGTTGATATTTTAATATACAGTGCTATTTAATAGTTATACTTATATGCATGATAAAGTTCTAGACTTCCAGTAAATATATTATGAAGGTCTGATTAGTTATGTGATAAAGTTCCAGTTGTTTTTATAAAGATATTATAAAGTTAATTCTAGCAATCTAGTAAGTTCTTGTTATTTTAATATTATAAAGTTCTAGTTTGTTGTCTTACACATTTAGTTATATGCAATGATTGTGACCACCTACTTTTAGATATTGCTGTTTCATTGCTTCGTACAAAGCTTGACATGTCTCACTGATAATATTTGATACAGTTCGTTCTCCTATCCTGTACTGAAATGATAAACTTCGGAACGACTCTCCTAAAAAAAATATTACTCATTGACATTGCCAATTTTTTGTATATAATCCAAAACGGGCAATAACGCTTTGTTTTGTATTTTGGCCCACCTGTTGCAAGGAATCGTAGAGTAACCGACAATCTTTCTCCAGGACTGATACTTACTCGCATTACTGTGTCTTTCTTTTTAATATACGGTTCCACCATCCTTAAAATTTTTCTAAAAGAATTTATGTCAAAGCGATGGTATTGTCGAAATATTTCAGGATCTTCTTCGAGTTCTCGAAGGAGGTTGACAAATATACCGCGCCTTTGGTGTCTCTGTATCCAAGTTCTACTCCAAATTGTTCGACATGCGGCTCTCATGCGGCGACGGCGACGACGCATCAGTAAAATGAAAAGATAAACAATGCGATGAAGATTTATACTTGCTGCCATCTTGAATTTGCCGCGAAATTCAATTGTCAACTCAGCTAAAAGCTCAGCACCTTTCTCAACGTGTGCGACCAATCTTGTCGACGCAAAGCAGTGAGGTAGTCGCCTCGCGAGGTTGTGAGCTCAGCCAAGAGCTCTCGTGTGTGGCGGGCTTAAGGACTTTGAGTTAGCGCGTGATTGTCATGCTGAAATGTACGAATACGCAGACGAAAGCCAAGCGTCACAAATGGACGATTGGGAAGACACATTAACAAGTGATTTCTACAACGTCGAAGAAAGCGTTGAAGACTTTCTTTAGTCTCCCCTTTTACATGAACACGCTAACTCAACGTCTTCAAATAATGAACAGATTCTCGAGCAGCCAGCAAGCAGTAATACTAGCCCTGTAGAACCAGTGGGGGGCAATGCGCAACCTGTTCATGAAATGCCTGGGGAATCTGTGCTTCAAGAGGCGGCAGTTGGGCATGAAGATTTAACTGCCAGTGGTAATAACACAATTATATTGGATGGTGGTGTATCGCAAGATTTAGCATGTAATTCTGCAGCCCCAGACGAACCTAAAGTTTGTGTCACTAAAATATCTTTCAACGGCTCTAAAACAAAGGCTAATTATGACCTGTCATCGCCGCAATAATTTGATAGCTGGATTGGCAATCTAATTGAATTTGAGGAAACAGCGTTACTGACCAAGGCGTCGGAAATGTCAATCGCAAAAGCTTTGTATAAATTAGAAGCATGCAAAGACATTCCTAGTATTAAACTAATAGAGTACGATGGTAATCCGTTGACGTATGTCGAGTTTATGGAGCGTTTCAAGTTACATATTCATAACAAACCACATCTTTCTGATGACGTAAGAATGGTTCAATTAAAAATGCATTTAGTTGGCAACGCAAAACGCGCAGTGGGCGGTCTTGGCTCGCAGGGGAAAATGTATGCAACCGCGCTAAAAAGTCTTAAAGAACAGTTTGGCCAACCCAGTGTCATCGCTAGAGCGTGGTGAGGGTTCGGTTTAAGTCTGTGAACGGGAAAACTCGTGAAGGAAATGTTCTCGTTGACAGTGGCGCTGGCACCACCGTGATCCGTAAAGAATTCACAAGAGCTCTTGGTCTTCAAGGAAGAAAAGAAAAAATCGATATAGCAGTCGTCGGTGGTAAAAAGATCACTCAGAAGGACAGTCGTAGAGTTAAGCTATGGATCTCCCCCCTAAACGGGAATGAGTCATACCCAGTCGAAGCACATGAAACCGACCATACAATTATTAATGTTCCAGCCCTCGACCGCACCTGGCTAAAGTCATTTGACCACCTCAGTGATATTGAGTTCCTCACCGAACCGGTCCAATTGACCTAACACTCAGGGTCCAGTACAGTCATCTCCATGCTGAAAGTGAAGTTTGACATGGCCTGCCATTTCAATCTGTCAGCAAGAAGACAAAGCTCAGATGGCATGTGATTGGTCCAGACAACGCGAAAGAATCAACTGCCAGTTACTTAAACTTTGCCAAGAAAATCGATCTGGAAAGGTTTTACGACTTTGAGACCCTAGGAACTCATGTACCTGACTGCACCTGCCCTCAAGAAACCATGTCTCGAGATGGAAAAAGGGCAGTTGAACTGTTTGAATCCTCCTACAAAAGGCTAGACAGGCGATTTGTCATTGGTCTTCCGTGGAAGAAAGATCCTACCCAGCTTCCTAACAACTACCTTCTAGCCAAGCAGCATCTGGAGTCGTTTGAAAGACGTCTAATGAAAAATCCAGTTCAAGCAAAGACCTACACTGATGCTATCGGAGAGTACGAGAAGAACGGATGGGCACGGAAATTGAACGAAGAAGAAGTAAAAGATTACAAAGGTCCTGTCTATTACCTACCACATCACGGAATATATCGTCCAGAAAAGAAAAGTACGCCTTTGAGAATTGTGTTTGATCCAGCCTGCCTGTATAAAGGAGTTTTGCTTAACTCATTCTTGTATAAAGGTCCCTGTCTCATCGGAAATCTGTTGGGAGTCCTGCTTCGTTTTCGAGAAGAACCAGTCGTGTTCGCTGGTGACATTTCCAAGATGTTCCTGCAGATTCTTCTACCTGAAAGAGATTGCCACGTCCATCGGTTTCTGTGGAGAGGCATCGACACAACACAAGAGCCATCGGTTTATTCCCTCCTTCTCGTAACCTTCGGTGACAAACCCTCCCCAGACATGGCGAGCTTTGTAATGCTGAAGATTGCAGAAGAGAACAAAGAGAGTACACCTGAAGCCTCAAAGATCCTAGAGCAAGATAGATATGTGGACGACTTAAGCCATTCATGTCCTTCAACACAAGATGCCAATTCAGAGGATGAGAGAAATCGATGAGATCCTCAACGCAAGTGGCTTCAACATTAAAGAATGGCATTGCTCGTCCAAGCAATTTCAAGAAACAACTACAGAGGGAAACAAGAAAGAAACAAGGCCCATTGATACAAATCCCCATCCGACCAATCAAGTTCCTGGAAGGAAGAAGAGAAGCATGAAGCAAACAATGTTAGTCTAGACAAAGAAAAAGGCGTCAAAACCCTCGGTGTTTCCTGGAATCCAAACGCAGATAGTATCTACTTTCAAATTAAATTCAAACGAACAGACGTCTACACGAAGCGAACGATTCTTTCGAACATCGAGATTGTTTGACCCACTAGGTTTGGCCGCTGCTCTCACAATAAAAGGCGAGAATAGCGCGTCAAGAAATTTGGAAGATGAAAAATATTGGTTGGGATGACCCGTTGCCTACCAAGTTACAACTGGCGTGGGTGAAGCTGTTCGACAAAATAGAAGATTTGACGACCATTGACGACCAAGTCAAGAATTGTCGAAAGAGGTTTGAGTACGTCCAAGCACTAGTTCAACAGTTTTGGAATCGGTTCCATCGTGAGTATCTGCAAAGCCTGATGCGACGAGCGAAGTGGAAGACAAAGGAACAACAGTTCAAGGTCGGTGATATCGTGTTAGTGGCCGACGCGAGCGTAGTGAGAGGAAAATGGAACTTAGCACAGATTGTCAAAGTCTATCCGGAACGAGACGGTGTCATTCGGAACGTGAGGTTGAAAATGAACTCCAGAGAATATCAGCGGTCAGTCCAGAAGTGTTGTCCAATCCTGGAAGAAGATTCCTCCTAACCGTGGCGCCGGAGGGTTGGATCGGACAGTTTACCAGCTTAACTATTTGAAGATGATTAATAATTTATAACTTTAGTTTGATTTAACATGATGATTCTATTTGATTTAACATATTTGATTTGCATGGTAACTGATTGAATTGACAAATGTGCATGACATAATAGTATCCAGACAGTATCGAAGGCAAGTATCGTATTGAGATATTGAGACAGTGTGCGAGAGCATATAGAGGGCTGAAGTATATTGAGAGCTTATCAATCAGTGGAGACCCACTCTTCAGAATGTATTAAATATATTACAAAAATCTCTACTGGATTGTGTGTGGTTTTGCTCAATCGGAAACAACCAGTAACAAATTTGAAGTGTTCTTCAAAGCAGTGGAAACCTATCTTGCTGACAAAACCGCAGTTCAAGAACGAAGGCACACAGATATAACCTACCTTGCAAAAGCTATATTAATCCGTGATCTGCATAGTCAAGTTGCCAAATTGGTTCCCAAGGGTACTGCCATTCCTCCTATACAGTGGTTAAAATATCAATTCCAACCACGTCATCCACGCACAAATGCTGGGAAGTATTACAAATATAAAGTTTGTTCGTTCACTGCAACCAGGTATATTAATCATGTTTCGCTCGCTACTCTGGTTTAAATAAATGATTACAAAGCCCAGTCTGGGCATTGTAATAATTTATTTAAACCAGAGTAGCGAGCGAAACATGATGAGTATTACAAATGTAAGATGAAAATTAAGATGATGATTCAGAAGAGGCAGTTCAGAAAAGCTCACCCTGATGAACATTACTGTGCTGCAATATGGCGCTATATGTGGGAGTATGCTGTCTTATATCGCGAAAAATGTCATCTTATTAGTCTGGATGACAAGCATTGAATTAGCGTTGGCGAACCAGGGTTTCCAGTTGCGGCAGCTGAAAGAGGAAAACAAGTTCTGGTTGGTCCTAACAAAACCTTTGCAATTGGTGATCATGACTTCACACGCTTCTCAATTGTACCAAGTGTAATTTTTCAGGTAAAATATATGTAAGAAGTGCATGTTGTCCATGTGCCTTGCAAGGCCTTGGGGTAAAGATTTTTTTGCAAATACCAAAGCATAGAATAATTCACATTTACTTGCTAACAACCAGAATATTCTATTTGTTAAGAGGAAAGCCCTGTAATATATTTTCAATTTCAGGAGTTGTATATAAATGGTTTTAACTTGTAAGTTAATTATATGACTTAATTGGTTATTTTAGATTAAAATCCCCTCGACCATTGACAAGTCATTCTATACTGGACAAGTTAACATCTGTTTTAAAAAAGCTGTATTCCAGCCTTCTAGTCCATTAAGACATGCCACAGAGTTGAAGGAGCTGCTGAATGACCAAGGCATGTATATTATTTTGTTTTAATAGTGCATATTTCAATTTCCATATTTATGGAGAGACAACATATGTATATTTACTCTTACAGTATACATGAATGTATTTCTTATATTTCCATTTTAGAAACAAAACCTATGTTGCTGATTTACACAGATGTTGTCCGGAACTTTCCGAGAGGGTTCAGTTCGGACTCGCGCGTCCCACACGTAAACATAACATAATATATAATAGTTTTCGACACCCTCCCCCCATATAGCTTGTAAAGGATATATGTTCTCAAGGAAACTTTTACTGTAAATTATCAAGTTCTAATGTCTCAATGTTTACACTTGTTCTCCATTTTCGATTTCAGCCATTTCCTGGATTCTGGAACACGCTGCCACCGCCGCATTTCAAGTTGGTCGGAAAACAGGAGCTGTTGGGTTAAGGGGTGGAGGGTCCTCTTGATGCCGATTGCACGACAACTCTAGAGGGTACAGGTGATTAACCGCTCTCTCCAAGTGACCATTTGACGTTTTCACCTTTGCTGCAGGGATGACACCATCTCTCCCCGGAAAGAGTTCTTCAACTATTCCCAATGGCCACTTTCCTCGGTTTCTTTCATCAGAAGCGATGATTACAACTTCTCCGACAGACAACGTAGACGGCTTCCCATGGTGTTTCATGTTGTGCTTCTCTCGTAACGCTCGTAGATACTCGGTACTCCATCTTTTCCACATATGATCTTTGCATGTTTTGAGATATCTCGCTCATTTTCTGAGGTCTCGATTTTCTTCATGGTGAGGATCCAACTGAGGTAATACGGTAGTGCCAACGAACTGTAAACTATTTGGCGTCAGTGTAGGTAACTCTATGTCACCTTCCTGATATCCCAATGGGCGATTGTTTAAAGTCACTTCGATGTCTAACAGTACGTCTTGCAACTCGCTCCAAATTAAACAGCTGTTTCCAATTGACTTGTATAACACACGTTTTACTAGTCCGACGAGTCATTCAAATTGCCCGCCCCACCAAGGGGCACGACTCAAGTTGAACTGCCAATGAATTCTCTCGTTCGCCAATTGGTTGTGGAATTGCTCATCAGATTGTACCTTCTTTAACCATGTTGATGCAGCTGCAAACGTTCCTGCGTTATCCGAGTAAATCTTCTCAGGTCTCCCTTTTCTTGCTATGAGCCGTTTCAGTGTTTGCAGAAATTAACCTGTTTCCATCGTTTTCATCAGCTCCAAATAGATTGCCCGACACAGACTGCACGCAAACAATGTCACATACGCTTTCCCTTGTGTTTTCTTTGTCACACGATATTTTATCGGTCCAGCAAAATCCACTCCCATGACTTGGAATGGACGGTTACCTTGGGTACAATCACACGGTAAGTTTCCCACTGGTGGTCTTGCGACTCGTTTGGCGTGGAATCGTCGACACCCGAAACATTTCTTCACTACTTTCTTCACCAACTGTCTCAGCCTAGGCACCCAATATCGCTCTCTAATTTTTGTCATGGTCAAACCAACTCCCCCGTGCAAAGTGTGCTCATGAGCATCTTGGACCAACTTTTTGGTGTAGAGATGGTCATTGGGTAGATATATTGGGTATTCTCCTTGCAATCGACCGTTACAATACATCATTCAATCTCCTTCATTCGTCTTCACATTAAGGCGTAGCTTGTCTTCGGTTGCTTGGTCATTTTGGTATGATTGAGCTTGTTTTACCCAGAACGCGTGTTCGTTGTTGATTTCTTCAGTTGTTAACGGTCCTTTGCGACGGTTTTCTTTTCCGGCTCTGCAGTTTAACACAAATCGATGCACCCAGGCGATAACTCTGATGGCTTTCGTCAATGAAAACTTTGCGAGAAGGTCGTCAAAACCGAAACCACAGCTGCACTGAAGAGTTCTTTCACTGCTTTCGCTTCAGACTCACTTTCGGGAGTGGCTGTCGTAACAATATCTGGAGGCCATTGATCTGGGTTCACCAACCATTCTGGGCCGTTCCACCAAACGCGATTTCCTGATACTTTGCCTCCCCCACTTCCCAGGTCGGCTGGGTTATCATTTGTAAGTACATGGCGCCAGGTGATTTCAGGATGCTCTTGGATCTTCTTGACCCGGTTTGCTACAAATTGTTTATACTGTCCACCGCCTCGTAACCACTGTAATGCAACTGTGCTATCAAGCCAACCGAATACACTTATCACTGGCACATAATCAATTGCTTGTTGGACATTGGGATACAAGATTCGCGGCCATGTGAGCAGACACAAGTTCCAATCGAGGTATGGTGAGATCCTGTTTTGCTAACCGTGCTTTAGCAGCAACTAAACCAACGTTAACACCCGATTCTTGCTTCGTAATGGCATACACCGCAGCAGAAACTCCCTTTTTGCTTGCATCACCGAATGCATGTAGCTCGACTTCGTCTACGATTTCCTGATGAACTACTATGGATCTAGGGACAGTCACTTGTTGAGGGAGTTCTTTCACCCATTGTTGGTATTCACCAGATAGTGGTTCTGAAATCTTCACATCCCATGGTACTTTCTGTTTACAAGCCTCACGGTAGATATGCTACCCTTTGAGAGTGACAGGCGAAACTAGTCCAAGTGGGTCATATATTCTCGCAAGATTTTGCAAGAGTTCTCTCTTTGTTACAGATGTTTCAATTTTTGGAATCACTATGCTGATTTCATCTTCTTGGTTGTTCCACGTTAGACCAAGCAGGCTTGATTGGGACTGGTTAAATCTGGTTAGCTGCTGTTTTCCAAAGGTTTGATCAGGTTCAGCTTCCACTTCGTTCAAGTCCTGTTCCGGTTTCACTTCACTCTTTTCGCATTCAGTTTTCAGTTTGTTATCTTCTAGCTGTGGTCCGTTTGAGTGCCATTTATGCAAGGTAAACTTGGCATCTTCGAAGATCTTTATGGCACCTTCCTTTAGCTCCATTGCACTGGCAACTGTTGGTTTCCCACTTAACATATCATCAACATAAAGACTTTGTCGTATGTCAGCAACTAGCTCTGGTTCTTGGGCTTCCCAACTGTCCAGGTGATGTTCCACGACTGCTGCAAGGAGGAAGGGTGAACAGGTTAAGCCAAAAAGTGCTCTTGTAAATCTGAGTGTTTCTGTTAAAGAATGTTCATTTGGCTTCCAGAAGAATCTCAGGGAATCTCTTTCCTCTTTCTTAATCCTCACTTGTAGAAAGGCTTGTTTCAGGTCGCCAGACAATGCAACTGGATGAAACCGCATTCGTGTCAGGATGTTCCACAGCTTGTTCTGGAGCGGAGGTCCGGCATATAAACACTCATTGAGACTAGGGGATTGTGGGTTTTCTCGAGCCGATCCATCATACACCACACAAAGCTTTGTCAATTCTGCGCCTGTTCGCACAACAGGCTTGTGGGGAAGGTAAAACTCCTTGGATGTAGGGAGTTCATCGGCCAACTCCACTATTCCCTCTTCCTTTTGTTGCTCGATTACCTTGTTGTATTCACGAGTGACTTCCAGTTTCTCTAATTTGTTGTATAAGCGATCAAGTCGGCGTAGGCTGCCTTCCTTGTTGCTAGGTAATGGTGGGTGGTTCTTCTTCAACAATAATCCAGTTTCATACCATTCTCGTACCCAGAGCCCTTCTTACACGCGTTCGACCGAGCACGACGAGGGGCTCTGGCCAAATCCATATCAAACTGGCATCTGATTGGCTACAACGGTTATTGTTCTAATACCGGATATGAGATAATTGGTTAATAATTGGAAGTATTAAACATGTTCCCATGAGTCCCATATGTCAAAAAACAGTCAAAATAACATTTTATAAAGTTCATAGTTGTTTGTTATTACTTTCATCATGGCCAAAGTAACACCCAGAAAGAGGGCGTGCTATTCGGTGAACTATTGTGTCGTTGTTGCAGCGTAAAAACTGAAGCGAATCGAAGAATTTACCTGTTCGGAAAAGTATCTACTGACGATGGCATTTTAGAAGCTATTAAAGAGTTTTCAAAAAGTGAAATATCGGAGGACGATGAATTTTCGAAGTACGTTTGCCGCTCTTGCACAACAAAGATATTGACAATTAAGAAAAAGGTTAACCAGTTTCGTGAACTTTTCATCCATTCAGAAAACTTGCAGAGAAATATACCAAAATCAGAACGCTTCAAAAGAGGACGAAAATTGGAAGTTTCTTTCGACAATTTAGAGTCGCAGAACCGAAACGTAAAGAGGACAAGAGTAGCGATAGCAGCGGTGTTTCAACGATCGCTTAGTGGCAATTGTATAACAGGTTTTAGCAGAGATGAAAGTCAACGTTCTTCTATTAATGGTAATGACCTTGCTTGCTTGCCACAACAATCAACAGTCTCGAACAATTTGACATGTAAGTCACCTTGGCAAAATCAGCGGGTCCTAGCTGCCAGATTTCAACAAGTTGCGCCAAAACGTAGCACAGTAATTGCGTCAAATATGAACATACAAAGCTTGAACAATTCGCAAAACGAACCTACGGTGGGAAAAGCCAAGAGACTTTTACCAGTTTGCATGCAAAAACAACAACCAAAACAGAAGGGAGATGAAGCCATTGAAATTGTTGAGAACTTTGGTCTACATAGTGAGATGGTACGTAAGATTGTGTTTTGTTATTTTTTCGTGTTTTTTTTATCGTAAAAAAGAATAACTATTCATGAGTATTGATTGCAATAGCCAATAACAAACTAACGTTTGTTCAAAATTGTACATAACTAAAAAACACAACGTGCCATGTCATGTTGCAATGATCTGTTAGAATTTCTATTACATTGTTGTCTATTGTGTTTGTGTTTATACCTGTAAGTGTACATGGCTAATAACGACACAAGATTATTCGATTTGTAAGGCAGGTGTGATGATTCCGTTTCACAGAGATAATTTTATGGGAACTTGATGTGTCATTATACTTGCCACAAGTCGCTTGCTAAGTAGGTTAATTATAGCTAAGAATATAGAGGCCGCTCTATTAAAATGAGTTTGTCATATAATAATAACAATCTTGAGTTTTTATTGCCGATGGTTTTATTGAACAATTATACTTAACAAACCCAAAAATCCCAATCGAAACAATTGAAAGGGAACAAAACAACAAAAATCGAAAAATGACATGAAGGTCATGTATTTCAAGTAGGTAAACAAACGTCTACTCCTGTTATTGCCTATTGGTATTTACCACACAAATCTATAAATTTATTATCTTTAAAGTTTAATTTCTCCATTTTCATACATTTTATTCAAGGTTAATTGAGCAAAGTATAAATAAAACACAAACTAAAATGTCAATTATGTCAGCTAGCTACAAAACGACATTCAAAGTAGTGTTTTTTTGCGTGGCCGGTGAAATTGACAAGCTTGTACATTTCATGTATAGTTTTACAGTATATAGAAAGAAGGGTCCGGACGTTTTACTTTTTGACGTGTTTTCACATACCTGTAATTTATTATATATAACTGTTAGTGAAAGAATCCTTATTGTAACTAAAATTTGACAACAAAAGTACGTGATATTATTGTAGCAATATTATAAACCTTGTCCTAGGAGTATACTGTATGTATTATTAAATATTACTGTTCGTCATGCCCTCTTTGTTTATGTTTTTTTTAATAATATAGGCTGTGACCGAAAATGATGTTTGCTTGAGTATCAAGGAAAAGGAGGAATTGTGCCAAACGGTAATGGATGGATGCCCTTCTGTTATCGCAGAAGCCATGTACAACATATGCCTGAGGTGAAAAAATGTATTAAAATGCTTGTTTTGAAAAACGCATTGCGTATGACAAGCGAAAGCCAAAAGCGTCTTGAGTCGTTTAAATGGATTGATATCCTACATGAGTTGACAGAGCTCCAGATATCCTGGATTTTCTAGTCACAATTGCTATCCCCTCAAACTGAAAAAGACCGGTCGGGAGATCCCTCCACTTTGCACCTTGTTTGGAATTCTAATGAATCAAAGGTCTCGTGAACTTTCCTTGATTCAGAAGTTAAATTCTGTTATACTCGGATTAGGAAATGCAACGAAGAAGGTACTTATTCATAATCATTTCCAAATCATCAATTGAAAAATTATTGCGTATGTGATCTTAAATATGACTTAATATTTATGTTAATTTATTCATTAAAACATGTTTCATTTCAATCAAACAGCTCGTTACCCAAATGCCAAAGGTACAAAAATAACAATTAAATTTAAATTAACGTTAATATATTAAGTTTTGTACAACATTATAGATTTTTTTCAACCGTATGGTATAATTCATTTGTCATTGGAAATTTCCATCACCCTAACCCCCACTTATAAAAAAAACCCCAAAATATACCTGATTCAGAGAATTATTACAAAAATGTCAATGTTAATTGTTAATCTTGCACTCCCTCGTATATATAAAATCATATCCCCTGAGGTGATAGGTCGAGGTTTCCAAACACAAATGCAGTGCTGTAGAAGTGTGGGGGGTTGCTTGGGGGCAGAGCCCCCTTCTTCAAGCTCTGGGGTGGCTGAGCCCCCCTGCTACTTTAAAAATTGATAATTTATTAAGAACACTATTAAAAAAGACTTGATTACTTTTTCATAAAGTAGAATCAAAATTACTAAAATTATATTGTTTCAATGTTTCATATGTAATTATGCATTTATGCTCTGTATTTTGAAACATGTACTGTATGATGTCATCAGGGACTGCAGAGCAGGGGGGCCTGGGGGGCTTTATGCCTATGTTAATGGGTTAACAAAACTAACAGGTTAACAAAACTGTCAATGTGTCAAATTGTTATAACTTATAAGCCATTAATGCACATTGCAGCCCTATGTGGTTTTGAGTATTTTACTCTGTCTGATGCCAGAGTATTTTTATACTCCGTCTAATGCGAAACGATTTTACAATGTACTCCTCAGGGGAAAATACTTACATGTTAATTGTTAAATCGTGTTTCATATATATTGTTGAAACTTCCAGATATTCTGCTGAAATGGCAAATAAATCAGTTGTTGTTGGCCTGCCTATTTTACCATTTAACCAATCAAAACATTCAGATGTTTGTCAGTATTTGGATTATCTTGAAGATTTACTAGCTAAAATACTTGGCAATGATGAATATTCTGTATGTTCACCCTTAGAGAAAGCAGCCAAGAAGAATGACATTTTAAAAGAAATAAAGGTTCCACTTTGTGGAGACCTTTTGGGACGTGAAAGGGTTACTGGTGCCAAGAAGACAAGGATGGGCTGTGACAATTGGAAACGCGTTCCCCACTTTGGCTAAAAACCGCGACGTACGCGACCCCGTCCACAAACATGAATGAATTTCAATAGCTGTGGTGACTCTCAAACGCTTTTTATTTGGTATGTCGCGACATACAACTTTTTAGCATTTGTAGTGATAATATAATACAATCTGTACAAGTTATTTAATTTAAACTACAATAATAGTTGGATTTAACAAGACGCAAACAAAAAGCCATTTGAGAGTCGCAATATTTTTTGAAATTCCTTCATGTTTGTGGGCGAAGTCGCATACGTTTGTGGGCGGTGCCGTTGTACGTTATTTATTAGCGACACTGCATATGGGTGGTTTTCGTATTATTAACCCCTCAACTTTTTTAGAATTAACATATTCGGAAAATCAGGTTGGTCATTCGGAAAATTATGGCAGTAATAGTATAACAAAATTTTAGTTGTTTAAACAGAGAAAATATTATAAAATTGCATGTATTGTCAGCATCATAAACTGATTTACAAAATCACGGCATTTACATGGATAACATTTAACAAATCATAGATCGGTAAATGTTTTTCGGTTTATTACTTCCCAGGGCCGTAGCAACGAGGGGCGGGGGAGGGAGGGGGCAGTCCTCAATATATCTTTAAAATACTGACAATTGATTAATTTTAAGCGGCTACATTACCCATGACAAACCGCAAAGAATCGTATTACCCATATACGCCTTCGCCCATTTAGTTCTTCTAAATTATAAGCAAATTAATTGTAAATTTCGATGTGAACAGAGAGTGGACTCTATACTTGGAGTATGTCAGCCAGAGGTTGCTGAGCAAATAGATAGAAATCCTAATATTGTAAACACAAATTATGTGAGTAGCGATTTTTTAATTAGCCTAAACTCCATTCCTAAAGAAAGAGGTTTCAAAATGGCTTTTCTAAACATTGTTAGTCTGCCCAAAAAAATTGATGAAATAAGATTTTCAATGTCAAACAAGTACATTGATCTCATTGCTTTTAATGAAACACAACTTGACCAATGTATACCTGATAACCTGATTCACTTTGATGGTTATGATATTATTAGGAAAGATAGGTCGAGAAATGGAGATGGAGTATGTATTTATTTGCGTAGCTCAATCAATTACAATATAAGACATGATCTGATTCCCTCTGAACTAGAGGGTGTTTGTGTAGAAGTTATTAAGCCACATAGCCGACCATTTCTTATTACAACAGTTTATAGACCACCAAATTCATCATCTGAATTCTTTGACCAGTTTGAAAAATTAATCAAAACTATTGATGATGAAGATAAAGAAATGTATATTCTTGGTGATCTAAACTGTGACATGCTAAAAACAGATAAGGAATCAAATCTTCCTACAAAGAAAATTAAGTCACTATATGAATTGTATCAGTTATCACACATCTGAATTCTTTGACCAGTTTGAAAAATTAATCAAAACTATTGATGATGAAGATAAAGAAATGTATATTCTTGGTGATCTAAACTGTGACATGCTAAAAACAGATAAGGAATCAAATCTTCCTACAAAGAAAATTAAGTCACTATATGAATTGTATCAATGAAGCTACTCGAGTAACTATGACTACCACCAGCCTTATTGACCATATAGTTACCAATAAACCAGAGAAAATTTCAAATTCTGGTGTTATACATACAGGTATAAGTGATCATAGTATGATATATGCAATTAGGAAACATTCCATTTTTTAAAAACAAGAAAACACTACTGAAATTAGAAATATGAAAAATTTTGATAATCAAAAATTTGTTGAGGATCTTCAGGATCAGCACTGGGAATATGTATACTTTTTTGCTGATGACCCAAACACTATGTGGGAAACTTGGAAGAAATTATTCTTAGAGGTCCTTGATAAGCATGCACCACTTCAACACAAAAAAATTAGATAAAAAAAAATCCCTTGGATTACAAGTGATATAAAGAAACTTATAGTTACAAGGGACAAATTAAAAAGGAAAGCCATTATCACAAACCTAGAAAAGGATTGGAAAAATTATAAAGCAACAAGAAATAAAGTGAACATAGAGCTTAGAAATGCTAAAAAAGATTATTATTCCTCGAAAATTGCTGGTCAAAAATGTGATCCAAAAAATGCTTGGAAAACCATAAACAATCTATTAGGTAGACAAAGCAAACCAACAGTGGTGAATGAGCTAAAGCTGGGTGACAATAGTTTAACAAGTCCAAAAGATATTGCAGAGGGCTTTAATGATTATTTTTCAAGTATTGGCCCTGATTTAGCAAGCAATATTCATACTTCGAATGACAGCTTTGAAAAATATGTTAAAAATTCTAAATCAGAATTCACTGCTTTCCAGCCGGTTACCGTCAGTAATGTCTACCATCTCTTGCATGGACTTTCTGGCAATAAAGCAACTGGAATTGATAGCCCTGATTTAGCAAGCAATATTCATACTTCGAATGACAGCTTTGAAAAATATGTTAAAAATTCTAAATCAGAATTCACTGCTTTCCAGCCGGTTACCGTCAGTAATGTCTACCATCTCTTGCATGGACTTTCTGGCAATAAAGCAACAATTTCTTGTAAAATTATTAAAATAGCAGCTCCTGCCATTTCAGATTCGTTGACATATATTTTTAATCAGGCAGTTACTCTCTCCTCTTTCCCTGATAAATGGAAAGTGGCTAGAGTAATACCTGTCTACAAAAATGGCCAACAAAATGCAGCAGGAAACTACAGACCAATTTCAGTTTTGCCAGCTATAAGAAAAGTTATGGAATGAATTCTGTACGATCAACTATACAATTATTTAACAAAATTTGAACTTCTGAGTAATTCTCAGTTTGGTTTTCGAAAATTTCACTCTACAGCTACAGCATTACTCGACTGTACTAATGACTGGTTTATGAACTTAGACAGAAAAATGTTTAACTTTGTAGTCTTAATTGACCTGAAAAAAGCATTTGATACTGTTGATCATCAAATTCTGTTAAGAAAGTTGGAACTTCATGGAATAAAAGGAAAAGCTTTGACCTTTCTTAAATCTTACCTCACAAATCGAAAACAGAAATGCCAAATAAAAGGATCCATTTCATCAGAAAAATCGATCAAATGTGGTGTACCACAAGGCTCTATTCTTGGGCCACTATTCTTTCTAATATATATTAATGATTTGCCTCAATGTCTAAATAATACAAAACCTCGGTTGTTTGCTGATGACACAAATCTAACCGCTACAGGAGATTCTATACCTCACCTTGAGACTGCAGTGAACTCTGATTTGGAAAACCTTAGAAAATGGTTAATTGCCAATAAACTTAGCCTAAATGTAGCTAAGACCGAATTTATGTTAATTGGTTCGAAGCCAATGATCAAAAGTGTTTCAAATTCACAACCTAATATTGAAATTGAAAACAAACCAATTAAACAAGTTTATGAATGTAAAACTCTTGGAGTGACAGTTGACCAGCATTTGTCTTGGAAAAGTAATACTGACAATATTTGTAAGAAAATAACAGCAGGAATATCGGCTCTTTGGCGTTTAAAAGAGTTTACTGATAGACAAACTCTTATTTCTGTATATAATGCAATTGTTCGGCCATACTTCGATTATTGTTGTGAAGTATGGGATGTGTTTGGGGAAACACAATCAAAGCGACTCCAAAAACTCCAAAATAGAGCTGCTCGAATTATCATGAATATGAGCAATGACACAGAACATTCTGTTGCTTTACAAGCATTGAGCTGGGTGCCACTCAAAACGGAAAGACAAAAAGCTAAAGCAAAATTAATGTACAAAATATTAAATAAAATGGGTCCGGAGTCACTCACTAATCTTTTCACATATAAAGGTGAGATGACAAACTGCAATCTTCAGGATATTTCGAGTAGTCTTTGCTTACCTAAACCGCGTACAAATAGCATGAAAAAGAGTTTCATGTATGACGGAGCCTACCTTTGGAATTCTATTCCGAAGGAAATTAGAGAAAGCAAATCCTTTGCCTCTTTTAGGAATAAAATCGCTACTCACATTAATAGTAATTGTAAATAGATGTTCCCGCAGACTAACTTACTAAGTACCGGTACTATACTTTACCTATTTAATACTATTTCTAATATTTTGTAAATAATTATTCTAAATTTTATACTTCTGTAATTTCTTCTATACACGCCCCCTGTGGAAATCAGCTTCGGTTGACGGGGTTAGCGTGGTTAAATAAAGTTTTCTATCTATCTTGACACAAATAAATACCAAAACTGTCTGAGTTCTGTAAGGGATTTGTGTTGTTTATGAGCTGGTTGAGAATATGGTCTTCCACATCTATATTAACGTCATCTACCACAACTGTAGTTAGCCCTTCATCATCTGGTGTTGGTGCATATGGATCAAATCCAAACCATTCAAGGTCATCAAGACCAGTTTCTGAATCAGCAACATTTGCAACTGCTGATAGTTGGTGGTTTCTGATATCTAACATGCCATTAGTCCACATTTGAAGAGGGGACCAATTTCGCTCTGTGCGCATTGTATGTTGATTCCAGGCTGAAACAAATGATTCGAGTGCTCTGTTTATTCTTGGAGTATATATCAAATGCAACACAAACATGTGTAACCTGTTGTCACGGTGAAGGATACCAGACTCCTCCATGGCTTGGAATGTGTAATAAAACATATGGCACACAACACAAAATACATCTCGCCAGAGTCTCTCAATCCTTTGATTGTGCACTGATGTACCAGCTATGTAGCTACCCCTGTTGGCACCTCTTCTCTCTTCCATGAGCTGCCAAACTCTTGTATTCTCTCCCCCATGATCAGTTCTTGTTCTTGAGGGCCACTGATACTGTTCAACGGGAGAAACAAAGCACTGCTCTACAGTTTCACAATGGTTGTTTGTTGAACATTTCAAGAATACAATCAGTCTTGAGAACCCATCTATGCCCCCATGAATAACAAAGCCCCAAGTAATGAGGCTGTGATGGCCATCTATGTGCCATAAACTGTTTGGCCCCGGGACTGAGTAAGCTCTCCTGGAAACTACAATCGCCCATCTTATATGTGTATTTGTGGGATCTACACGTGCAAGACTTTCTCTTACTCTTTGTCGCTGTAACCTAAGCCCAAGTGATCTCAGATGACCATTCACGATTGAGCAACCAACAAGTGATCCATGTTGTCCGCTAAATTCCCTAACAATAATGTCCAGTTCCTCATCCGATATATTTGAATATCCGGTAATCTCCTGAATGCCATATTCTATTACTCTTCATCTAATAGTCCATCTTGAAACAAGCAACATTTGAGATATGTTTTTCCACGTAAAACCAAACGATCTCAACTGAATCAATACATCTTCTCGTATATCCAGTCTAGGCCTGCCTGGTGTTACCGTTCGGATGACAGGTGGACATTGGAGAGAATAAATGGCAACATTCGTACACCGAGAATCCGTTCCATATCTAGTCCAGTCTAAATACAAGGCACGTATGTTTCTGAGAAGTTCCTCGAGAAATGGAGCACATTCGAGATTTCTAACAGCTGACACACTTAAAACTTGCTGAATTACAACAATCACAGACTCCATTCTGGTCAAAATGTTCTCCCTTACATCAATGCTGAACGTATAGCGATTTTGTTCATAATCAACTAGCAATTCCAGAATTGATTCAAATACTTGTTCCCAACCATCTAAATATTGACTTATATCATCCTCATGTGAATTCAGGTCAGTGAACTCCATGTCTTTTATTGGTAAAGTAAAATAACCACTGAGCTTTACTTGTACCTTCCATTATATATTTTATTACCTCGGGTCGGTACGACACTGAGGTCATAAATTCGGCTCCTATTTTTTTTTTCCATTTGTGTCAAGCCGCGCGCGTAGTCGAAGAGCCTGCGGAGGAGACGACATCTTCCGGTAAATAAGTGTTCTTCCGGAAAATTTCAAGCATTGGCCAAAGCGAAACGCAACCCGAAGCTGTCCTTGCACAAAATCCGAAGATGTGATAATTTGATAAACCAGAAGATGTGATAATTTTGACATACATGTTTAGCTGGATAACTATTCTCGAGTATATGTTGATATAATGCACAATACTTCGTATGCATAGCATGGGAATACCGCGGCCAACTTTCACTTGTTATCTATTATAATTACTGACCCGAATCAAAAGTAATTATTTTCGGCTGGAAGACTACTGTACGTTGCTGCTTGTCGGGACCGTATGACAATGAACCTATCCAACGTTACACTAGACATTTGTGAGGACATGCATATAGACATAACCATAGGCACTGTAGTGCATTGTGATAGAACAGATTTCAGTTTAATTAATCGCCCTAAATTAAAATCTCCACAAGCGGAGGTCAATTATAGTGTTCTAGTTTACATATTATCGTCAATGATAAGGTTTACTCAAATAGGGTATTGGATAAACACGGGAATAGAACTTATGGTGTATTCTGCACATGCGTATATCTAGGATAAAATCCCACAAGCGCAAACGAAACTATTTCTCTATAAAATTGAACTGAAAAGACTTACAGCGACCGTTTCCAACAGTGCTTCAGGCACCTGACGACACCGTATAGGGCCCCTTTAGCACTGTCACCTTCTCATCTTGGGATGTTCACGTTATCGCGTGTACATGTCAGGGTGACGAAGATGCATTATTGCTAATAATGTCTGTGTGCACTGATGCACGCTGCATTATTTTTAATAATGTTGTGTGCTATTTTAACACGTACATAGAATATGACGCGTATAAACATTTACACCTGAGCCGGAATTTCCCTATACAACCAAAAAGGCCGCTCCCGTTTTTCAGTAGAACGTTAAATGAAAACTTCTCGACATTCGCTGATATAATGCAGAGAGAAAACAATAGGTTTGATGAGGGCCAGTAATTATTATCAATAAAATATTAAAACGGAGCTTTGATTAACTGATTCACCATTTATACTAGTGACCTATTAAACTATCGTGATTTACACAATTTTTGGATATTTACCAGACGATCCCCTATCTACCGACCCGAGGTTAACGCCGAGTCGGCGTCTTGTTAACATTTGCATCCGCCATTTTTAATAAATACGCGGGAAAACTTATCTCAATGGACTGGGGACTAGTGTGGTTTGTTGACAGCGTTTTGGGTTTTGTTGATGGCGTTTCGAGCGATCCCCTATCTACCGACCCGAGGTTAACGCCGAGTCGGCGTCTTGTTAACATTTGCATCCGCCATTTTTAATAAATACGCGGGAAAACTTATCTCAATGGACTGGGGACTAGTGTGGTTTTGTTGACAGCGTTTTGGGTTTTGTTGATGGCGTTTCGGAAATTTTGCTTGCTTGAATCTGGCACAAATTTTAAGGTTGATCTTGAACTTAGTAGTTGTTGCTTCTGAAGCAGGAAACTCTTCTTGGTTGTGAAACAAAAATCGGTGTTGATATAGAAGGCTTTTTGAATAGTTGAATTTGGAACGGAATTAATGTTGACGTTGAATCGGTTTGCTGAATGTATTATAAAAAAGTGGTTGATGTTGATCGGCGTTTGTTGAAACTGGTAGAATTTTAATGATTGAATTTTGCACCAAATCGCTTTCCATAATCGAGATCTATCTGATCTTCAACGACAACTGGTCAGTGTTTCCACAACCGCTTGATCAAAAATCCTTTTACAATCTCCAAAATTCCTTTTTCCCCACAAAATTTCCTTGCCACCCGAACGGTGGAAAAAATCAAGAAAATTCAGGCAAATTTGAGGCAAATATATCATAGACCCTACGAGAAATCGAGCATCATTACATTGCCTGAAAATTTGGGCAAGTTTTCAAGAATTTCAAATTTTTAAATTTATAGTCCCTAGATTGCCGGAAATGGCATTTTCAGATTCTTCTGTACCTCTTTTGTTAGACCTATACTATTTATAAGTTGATTTTTACTGGTTTAAGACTTGCAACTGGTATAAGTTACAGAATCCTTGCAATTTCCTTTAATTTTTGTATTTTTCCTTGCCATTTCCTTGTAAATTTTATTTCCTTGTAAATTCCTTGCAAGGACCAATATTTCTTGCTGCAGGGAAAAATCCTTGCAAGTGGAAACACTGAACGGGATTGCAAAAGCAGGTTAAGTTTACATGAAGTACCTCGTATAACAACGACAAAAGCGCCCAAATCAATGGCCCGTTTTTTGACCACCTACTTGCAGGCTGTAACAAATCACTCCACTGCTGAAAATCTGAAACGAAATTCAAATAACGTGCGGATTCGGGATTATTTGAATAACACGATGTGAAATCACAATATCATGTCCAGTTCTAGTTCTTCTAATTCACCTTCAAAAAGCGAAGGTGACAGTGAAACATCAGTTAAATCCAGAAAATATAGTGACAAAACAAAGAAATATCACCGGAGGTCGCGATCACGTGGCGACAAATATGACGATAAAAGAAAAAGAAGACGAAGTGGTTCTTCATTGTTGCGTTCTCGATCAAGGCACAGATCTAGACACAGGTCCAGGGGTGGAAAAAGTATCGGAACCTGGGAACCTAGTTCCCAGAAATTTTTTTGAGTTGAGAGTTTTGCATAAAATTTTCCAGAAAATATTTCAACATTTTGAGATATTACAAGTTACAACTTTTCTACTTTATTTACACTGTACATGCTAACATCAGCAGCTTTTAAATATTTGACAGAAATTAATTATTTTACCCACCCCTGCTATATCACAATGACTGGTAAAATGGTAAATATATGCTCTGCAAAGTCTCCAATAAAACGCAAATTAAATAGTAAACAAATAAAAGTATGGAATAAATAAGATGATAGGACACTTAGTTAAGCGTTAGATCCTTACTATGATGTTTGTGATGTTATTCTGAGTGCGTATCCACACCGGACAAGCTTGAAAAATATGCCTGGCCACGGTGGGAATTGAACCTACAACCTTTGGAATACTAGCCCAATGCTCTGCCAGCTGAGCTACACGGTCAGGTCGGTTCGAGTAGGTGATATTTCGGAACTGACTTTAGTTTCTTCGACATCAATGTAATCCAAAAATCATGATTTTTTGTGTTGGTGTTGTGTACTCAGGTGAATATGATGTTTGTGATGTTACTCCGAGTGTGTATCCACACCGGGCAAGCTTGAAAAATATGCTCGGCCATGGTGGGAATCGAACCTATATGACCTTTGGAATAGTAGATTACATTGATGTTGAAGGAACTAAACTCAGTTCCGAAATATCACATACTCGAACTGACCTGACCACGTAGCTCAGTTGGCAGAACATTGGGCTAGTAATCCAAATGTTGTAGGTTCGATTCCCATCGTGACCAGGCATATTTTTCAAGTTTGCCCAGTGTGGATATACACTCAGAGTAACATCACAAACATCATATTCACCTTAGTACATAACACCAACACAGACAAAATCAAGATCCTTACTAGTTGGTCATAACTCATAACTGTGGTATATAACAGACAACTATTGTGATGTACAAGCGTACGAAAACCAGCCTAAAGCCCATTATTAATAAAGTACAAATAATACAATAATTATGATTTGTTTTGTTATTTTTGTAATTGTAACATTACAAATTTTACAGAAAATTTCTAGCCGTCGACCCAGGTTCCCAGAAAGAAAAAAAAATTTTCCACCCCTGCACAGGTCTAGGAATAGATCAATAGACAGACGTTCACACAGTCACTCGCCCAGAGAAAAAGGTCCGGGGAAACTGACACAAACCGATGCGCATTGTTGCGCTGGTATCCCAGTTTCCGCATACAACACAAGTGAAGGTAATTATTTGCTATTTGTCTGTTTGAAGTAGCAAAAAATATAAGGTTCAATGTTGGAACCAGCAAGGTTTTTACTTTAGTTTGTTTTTTCTTTGGAGGGGGTACTAGCCCTACTGGTTCAGACAATTCCAGCAAAATTGTTAAATGTTTTTTAATGTTAAATGTTTTTTAATCTGGTGCTAAGAGCTGCCCCCTGCACTCTTCCCCCAAATCCACCACTGATAAGACTGGTAAACATTAAAACCTTGTTTTGTACTGTTGGTAGGCCTATACATATATACGCACATGCATGTATGTAAACTTGAGTGTCAGGCCTGATGTTTTACTTTGACGATCTGCATATTTCAAGTTGCAGTAATTGATTCCATTTATTTTCATTGTACATTTGCAGTTTTGTCAAGAGTCTGGAATGTGAGGACAATTTCCTCAAAAAACTATAAGATGGTTCATGTTAATAGCAAGATGACCACAAGTGAATTTATGACAAAAGTGGCAAAAATCTTTAATGTTCGGAAGGATTTCATTTGCATTACGTATAAACTCCCCAGTAGTATAGATGATGAACAAGTAACTGTGGAGATAGAAGAAAGAGACCCAAATAGTCTCCAGCATGCCATTAATGTTCTCAAGGATTACTCTAAGTTAACCATAGAAGTCAAGCTGCAACCAAACACAATTGATTTGCAAATAATGGATGGAAAACGTGTATTGCGCACAATAGAAGTGATTACTGAGGAAATTAAAAGAAAGATGGGGTTACACAGTGACACTGGAAAACGAACAAGGGGGTTTTTAGATGCAAAGTGGACTGAACAGTGCTCTCAATTATTATCAGAGGACTCAAGGTATTTATTGCAATTTGACAAGTTGAAAGCTGGTGCAAAGTTAATATTTGGAAATGATGGCTACATCCTTAATCCAGTCCAGGTGATTTGCCCAGTTTGTTTGGAAATTAAGATTTTGAGTTCAATGAACCAACTTCGATCATTGTCTCAACATTTCAAAGAAGTGCACTTCCATGATCCAAGAGGAATAAACATTATTAAACGTCTTAATGCATGGATGGAAAATAATTTTATTTCTGCAGAACAACTTGATCAGGAAGCACCACTTCCTGATGGACTTGTCTCACCACAGGAAATGTTATTAACTCCACGGGTCAGGGCAGTTGTCCTGGCCCATGACATTTCTTAAGGGCACTTACATGAAATGATGATTTTCAAATGATATTGTCAGGTTTTTAGAAATATAACCTAACAATAGTTAATATAAACCTCTTAAAGATGCGGTACAGTCCATATGTAAACAATGGCTTTGTTTACATTTCGATATCCAAAATATTGAATTTTATTCGACAACTATTGATATTTTCATGATTCTAGAGTATAATAAATTATCAAGAGACAACAATCAAGCTTTGCAAGAACATAAAATGAAATAAAAACCTAAATAAACTGTTTGTAAATAAAAAGAGGGCTCCTTTGTGCACATGCGCAGATCGAACTGTACCGCATCTTTAACTGGTCATTCAGGTTGACTGTCGATTTCACAATATATGTTTGTCCTCATCTTGTAGATTGTCAAAATTTATAATCTAGGTCAATGATGATTTGCATGAATTTCATTATAATTTTACATTCTTACCATTCAAGTACTTGTACTTTTGCACTTTTTGCTGTATATCAGTAATTTCATGCAAGTGCCCTTTAGAATGTCATTGCAAGAAATTAAGACCGATTATTTAACCCACTGGCTCAATCAGCTTATTGAGTCTGGCATCATTAACAGGGAACATTTGATATATCAAAACATTGAGGCTTTCTTAACTGAACAGTTAAGTCAACCTAACCCGCCTGTTACTAACTGGGAACAATGGCCAATTCTGTACAGTTATTGTGAGTCACTCTCTGCACTTGCTACGAGAAAAGGTTATATGTTTTAAATGCGATAAATGTTTTATATGTGATAAATGCAGGTTGCTCTGATGGTCCAGCCTCCAAGGCACAGCTTTCTGAACCTACTGGGCTATGTTTTGACTTTGATTCAGCTATTATTTGTTGTTTTGGTGGTAGCAAGAATGGCTACATTAAATTGTACAGTGCTGTTGACTTTGCCTGTAGGTTCATGGCTGCCATCCGACAAATATATCATGCTATTGGATTTCTGCCAAAAAAAGAACAAAATTATTTAGCAAAAGTAGGAAAAAATCCAGCAGCACCATTTGTGGAAGGCACTGACCAACTTGCTGCCTCCCTTACTTACCTGGAGAGTCTAATAGTTGAGCGAAAAAAATATCTTAAGGCAGCCCCTTCTGGCCCTGAGGGTACTGTGTATCATGTTTCTGTCCAGGGTCTAGCAGAAACAGTCAAATCTCTGCAGGGCCATATTCAGTCATTTAAGCAGCTGGGAATGCAGGACATTTTAGCTCATCTTAGTCTATATGCATTTGTTAATGAAGCTCGGAAAGAGCACAGATTTGCTAAACACAAACAGAAAGGGCAGTGCAGGCACCCTACTCTGCAGCAGTATGTTCACAGTAAAGGCAGCCATGAGATAGAACAAATTAAAAAAATCTGCAACTGCTCCCATGATTATCATACTAACAATTATAGCGCCTACCAACCAACTCATCAATCAAGTTTGTCCTCTGTGAAAACTATTGCCCAATACAGGAAATGGAGTGAGAAGTTCCATCCTCAACCAAAAGTAGTCGAACAGGAACAAGCTAAAGAGGACCTTAAAGTTGCAAGAATGTTAAATGTTCTAACTAAATCGAAGCCAACACAAAACATCCGGGAACTGTATAGATACAAATGTGGCTATGGTCCATGTGTCATTATCCAGAAAGATACCCTTTCAGAGGGTGGTACAAATCAGGCACAACTTTATTTTCCAGCTTTTCAAGATCTAATGAAAGAACTTCAGGTCCAAAGAGGAGAAAACCCTCTGTTGCCTTCAGAAATTTAACACGTCCAAGCAGGCGACTATCTCTTTTTACCAGGAGATATTGTTGCAATTAATCCTGGGACAGAAAATGAAGTTCCTAGTGGGGATAAGTGGTGGCTGCTTCAAGTCAACAAACCACATCACTTGAGCAAAAATAGGTCTGGATGTCATGTGTTTGGGTTTTGGCTTGCTGAGAAGGATACTATTGATATGTCTGTGTCAGGAAAACATTATTCTTTGTTGCCACAGTCTGTGAAAACCTATTTTGGTACAATTATCAAAGATAACAATAATGTTCCATTGGTGATTCCTGTGGAGGAGTTGAATTCTGGTTGGCAGAATGGGCAGGTTGTCTATGCTTTTACAGAAGAGTACTGTCGTACGCTGGATTTGATATCGCACTCGTTCAGAAAAGGTCTGCATGCAGCTGATAATAATGAAGAGGATGGTGCATCTGATCTGGAAGCCGATGAGGATGATAGACAACCACCAGACATTCATGAGGTGGAACTCATGGCAATGCAACGAAGGAGAGTAGTTTGTGGTGTGGAGGGACAGATTTTTAGTTCTTACAGGGATCTTTTGAATCCACGTCAAGCTGGAGGAAGACGACAACGGCGTATTGAGAATTTGGGCAATGCAAGTACAGAATCCGAAGCCGAAAGGAATAATTAGGAATTTGAGCAGCCAGAAGGCAGAAGCTGAATTTTAACCTATGCTAGGCACTGTATTTGGTAAAGACGGCCTGATATGAAAAATTACTTCAGTTTGCCTCGATTTTAGTTCCTTGCATCATATTTGTTACTTGAAAAATTCTACAAATTGTAAGTTAAGACACCCTGCAAAATCTTCATATTTTATATTATTGAAATCATTAGTATCATTGGAATGTTAGAAACCCAATCTCTTATCCCATAACACCGGAAGATAATAAATCTTTATGGTCAGGGCCGTGGCTAGAGCGTTAATTGGGGGGGGAGGGGGTATATTCATATTTCGGGTTATACCCGACAAATTTCTTTTGAAATAAGTTGTTTTTAAGTTAATTTCAAAAGAAATTAGTCGGGCAGAACACAAATATATGAATATACACCCCCCCCCCAAATTGGCGCTATAGCTACGGCCCTGACTGCCCTGTTTATGGTAATAAGACTAATAAAGAACGATGCAAGAAACTAAATAAGAACCAGTTATTTAAATAGTTTTTAAATAATACTGAGGGATTCACAATCATTCACCAAAGGGTAAATGCACATAGAATGTAGATTTTTAACTTTACTAAAATAGACCTACCGTTTGATATTCGCTTTTGAATTTGATGTAATGTTTGCTTTTGTATTGTGAACAATATGGGCATATGGCTACGAAAAAACTCGTAATTATAATACTAATTAAGCTTTTATAATTTTATGTAGCTTTTATAATATAAACAACAAAAGAAAACAAAGTATTGCCAAATACCGCATGCCAAATACCGCGGCTTCGCCATAGATCGACTTTAAGTTATGCGACATAAAGTATTAGAGGTTTTTAAAAATGTTTCAATATGGCGGCCGAACCCGAGCTGCCGAACACATCATTCTGCAACAGGTTCTACATTTAGTCACTAGTATCAAACATACTAAACACTGGAATAGTTTTAATCAAGCTTGTTGTTGTGGTATTCACATCAAAGTTGAAAATCCCACGACGCTGGGACAGTTCGATGTACAGCAGTAAGTGTAATTTTAAAATACTGCAGCTTCACAGTTCAAACTGTTGACCGATATAATAATTTGTATATTAAATAATGACTATGCATTAGCAGAGATCCGGATAAAGAGCTGTAAGTAAGTTTATATATGTTGATCTTTAACAAATTCGAACTTGACAACAATTTTAAAATACTAATTACTTTGGCTTTGATTGAAAGATTTGCAGTTGTAGGAAATGGCAATGGACAATATCTTTGCTTGTGGAAACACCACCTACATAATTTTATTGTTGTATATTAAGTTTTAGGGTGATTTTGCGTTTGTGATGTGTCTAGATTTCTGGTAATTGCATTAGCAACAACTGACTGAAATGCCTATTTCAGAATTTGAAAATGTGCTTTTTACTTATTATTTTATTTGAATCGCATTTCATTAAAGGGGGCCTACAGTCATTTTTTAGTCGAAAAGCCACCTTAAGTAGGGGACTCCACAAAGATGCAGTATCCATGAGTATGAGTACTTCCGCACACCAGAAGACGCATGCATGCCATGGTGCGCATGTCAAGTAGCGACAATAACAAAAAATGTAAACAATGGCATTTCGACTAAAAAATGACTGTAGCGCCCCTTTAAGCCTCGTGTAATAATGAGATAAATGCCTATCAATAACTTGCAGCAGTGCAAGTTACAATTTTGAAGTTAGAAATATGTTTTTGAAGTGAAAACATGTTTAAAATTATGCATGTTCATGAACTGATTTTGGGCGATTTTGTGTGACTTTTGGTGACTTAATGCGATTTTAGGCGACTTTAAGCAATTTTAGGCGACTTTAAGCAATTTTAGGCAACTTTAGGTCCCAGAGTAGGCCTAAATATAGTCTATTCCAACGCTGATTTTGACGTACTTTAGCTTTTCAAAAACTGTTGGCCTTCCTCAGTGAGATTTTGAACTGTTTCACAAACATATTTGCTAGTAAACAGCTAAAATATTCTCCAAAAGTCTATATTTTTGCTCTTCGATGCTAAAATGTCAACTCAAGAAGAAATGAGCCGCTATTTTTGGTCAGCGTCGACAAATTGCCCACCTGTTCCTTAGCTCCAGACCAATGATTTCGTAGAATCTCCATCAAACTTCACCTTACAGGTAAGTCTCGTTTAATTTTTCAAATTTAATACAAAACGTTACCATATCGTCATATACTCTGTGTGTAAAACCTTATTTTTTGACGAAGAGTCGAATTGAACGCCATTGGCAAATAATAATAAATTTGTAAAATGCGCAAAAATTATGAGTAAATTATATGGCCAGTTTACCGTGCAAATATTTCGAATATGTCATTCGGTATTACATGGAGAATAATAGAATGCTATCAGTTGCTTAGTATAAAATAGTAGCAGAGAGATGATTAGAAAGTCATATAATTGCTTTTGCATTAATAACTTCTTTAGCTGAAGGCTTGATCAGTCGATCACAATGTATACTGTATAAAACAAAAGCCCAAGTAAATAAAAATTCACAGCCGTAAAGTTTGAAATATTTATTACCTCATTTATTACAACAGTGCAATTTTATAGTTTGTACCTTTATACAGTTATAGCTTACAAATCCAGTTCCTGCAAGTCTAGTTCTTCAACGCTTCGGTTGTTGACATGTTAATATTGGAATTTCCATGGACTTTAAATAAGGCATGTGTCATATATACCAAGAATAACAGCATAAATTCACGCCCAGATGACAGAAGAATATTAACATTAGTCAATTCAACAAAAACAAGTAGCAAAAAATCGTAAACGACAACAAAATATCACAACTTGCAAGAAATCGACTTTCTTGCCAATCTCGTAGCCAGAGCAATGCCTGTGCGCGGGCTAGGATGGCATTGGCTCTGGGGAAATTGAATTTTTCCTGTGCTGTGATTGGTTTAATGTTTATCAACCGTGCATGCCGACAAAGAACCGGAACCCCTAAATTTAGGGGTTCCAGTTGTCAATTTCCCCATAGCCAATGCCATCCTAGCCCGCGCACAGGCATTGCTCTGGGTACGAGATTGCTTTCTTGCAAGAAATCGACCAAGAACAGCCAGGTGTCTCGCAGTTCAAGTGCACTCTTCCCATCAGCCTCTTTGCCCATCTATCCCTACTACAATACTTCATGTAAACTCGTCCTATGCGCATCACTGTTTTTTTACAAAGAGACGCCTAGGTATGAGGCAGTAAACATGCAAAAATATGTAGGCGCGGTCGTAGACGTTTGTGGGAGTGGTCGATATACGAATTTTTTATGCGATTCCACAGTTCGGTGACGTTCGTAATATTAGTGTGAAGTTTCTTAGTGGGGAAAATTCAAACGAATCAGTCAGTCATTCATTCATTCAGTCATAGAGTAAACTTTCTGGGGGGTGTATACGATTTATGTTCGTAGTGATTTATTGTGCTTATAGTCAGTACGTGCTTTGAAAGTTATTTAGGCAATTTCAGTTGTCTTATTTAAATATTCTTTTATCGTTTTGCCAAATTCACAAAAAATTTGACAAATCATTTTCGTTATTGTAATTTTTTGTAAATTTTATAACATTCACTTCTCATGTTGTATAAAAGATATTTCCCCCGGTGTTGTATCCTCAGAAATGCACTGTTATACTACTCAAACTCAACTTTTAATGTCCTTAGAAAACTGAATAACAACCTTCGCTATATCGCTCTCGCACATGTTCCTAAAACCCCCAAAGCGCATGCGCAATATATCACATTTCCCTTTCTAACAAAAGTCTCTGTTCATAACAATTAAATTAACTATAAATTGTCAACGATAATAACATAAAAGTTCTTTAAAGTTAAGGATCTGTTCTTCCTCGATTAGCTCTTAACGGATAACGTCTTTCAGCGGAACCTGTGTTATTCGCACTTGAATTATCAGTGACAGAGTTTTGATTATCGCTCTTTTCTACAGAATCATTGCTACTAGTACCCGAGGTGTTTCCATATCTGTTCGAATTTTCAGATAATTGTTCTGCTTCCGGTGTCCCACTCTTTTCCGGAGAGATCTCAACTTCATCCCAATCATTTTCTGGTTCAATCTGCGGATTGTATTTGACTAACTGATCTACATGTCGTTTCCACAGATATCCAGGTACTCTAACCATGTAATGCCTTGAACCAAGAACTTTAGTGACCACTCCAGGAATCCATTTCTCTTTCCCTTGATAATTACGTGCCAAAACATTTTCCCCTTCAACAAAGGATCGCACGTTTAAATTTGCAGAACGTTCAAGGACTTTATATTGCTTTTGCTTCACATGTTCCTGAACGGAAGGAAAGACTAGATCAAGTTGTGTTCGCAGACGTCTGCCCATAATTAAAACTGAAGGTGCCGCACCCGTTGTAGAATGTGGTGCATTACGATACACTAGTAAGCTCTTAGCAATAACCACGTTCACATCCTGTTTAGTAATTCGAGCTTGCTCAATCGCCGATTTCAAAATTTGAACAACTCGTTCAGCTTGACCGTTCGTTGAAGGTTTGTAGGCTGCAGAAGTTCGATGCATAATTCCGTTGTTACGGCAGAACTGTTGAAACTCGCCGGCAATGAATTGCGGTCCGTTATTGGAAACTAATATTTCCGGAAGACCATGGCGGCTAAAGATATCTCGCAGTGCATTTATAGTAGTCGTAGCTGTTGTAGTAGTCATTTTAACAACTTCCGGAAACTTACTGTAAGCGTCAACTACCACCAGATACATTTTCCCAGCAATAGGCCCAGCAAAGTCGATATGAATGCGAGACCAAGGTTGTGATGGAAAAGTCCAGGGATGTACTGGCGCTTTTGCTGGCTCTGATCGCATTTTCTGGCAAACAGGACAAGTGGACACAGTCTGTTCAATGTCAGAATCAATCTTTGGCCACCAGACATAAGACATCGCAAGCCCTTTCATTCTTGTCATGCCCGGATGGGTGTCATGTAATTCGGTTAGCATTTCACTTCGAAGAGATGGAGGAACAACAACCCGAGCTCCCCAAAGGATGCATCCTTGATGAATAGTTAGTTGATCACTTCTGTTTTTGTACGGAATCATATCAGCATCAACTACAAAGGGCCAACCACTTTGTATGTATCTATATACTAAAGAAAGAACCGGATCCACTTGTGTCTTTTTCTTAATCATTCCAGCAGTTACATTAGTAACACACCAGCTTCAAAGAAATAACATTCTACATTTTCACTTTTAGGGCACCAAGTTTGTGGTAAAGGTAGACGGGACATGCTTTCAGCGTCAGCATGTGCAGTTGTACTTCGGTACTCAATCTTGTAATGGTATGAGGCTAGGATAAGTGCCCATCTTTGTAGTCCTGAAGCCGTGTGGGCTGGAACAGAACAATGTGGTCCCAACAATGTAAGGAGTGGGCGATGATCAGTTAGGATAGTAAATGAATTACCACAGAGATATTGATGAAATCGTTTAAGTCCAAATATCATACTGAAAGCTTCCTTCTCAAGCTGTGAATAATTTCGTTGGGCCTCAGTTAATGTACATGATGCAAATGCTATCAGTTGGTGTTTCCCATTAATGACATGTGACAATACCGCTCCTGCACCATAAGAAGAAGCATCACATGATAGAACAAGAGGCAATGATTCATTATAATGTACTAGTGTTCTCGAATTTAGTAAAAGATTTTTAGCTGATTTGAAAGCTGCGTCTTCTGATTTAGTCCACTTCCAAGGTACATTCTTCTTAAGCAGATTATTCAGCGGTGTTAATACAGTGGAATGGTGTGGCATAAATCGTGAGTAAAACATCATAAGTCCTAGGAAAGACTTAAGAGCCGTAGTATCCTTTGGAGGGGGGGGCATCACGCACAGCTGCCAGTTTGTCTTCAGTTGGATGGAGGCCAGCACTATCGATTAGATGACCTAGGTACACCACAGAAGACTGGAGAAATTTGCACTTAGATTTGTTTAACTTGAAACCAAACTTAAGCAATCTTTCTAGCACTTGGGACAAAGTATTCAGATGATCTTCATAATCAGTTCCAGCAATAAGAATGTCATCCAATCTGCTAACAGCTTTCGGAATATCTGCTAATAATCCATCCATAATTCTCTGAAATATAGCAGGACCTGAATGAATCCCGTTAGGCAATCTTTTAAAAGCAAAGAGACCCAGATGGGTGTTGATGGTAAGATACTTCTGAGACTCAGTTGAAATGGGAATTTGATGATAAGCTTGCTTCAGGTCTAATACACTGAATACTTGACAGCCCCTCAATGCAGAATGCATATCTTCTATTTTAGGCATTGGATAAGTCTCAACTTCAGCACATGCATTATAAGTAACACTGAAATCACCACAAACTCGAACTTCATCACCGTCCTTTTTGCCCACCGTAACAATAGGGGCAGCACTAACAGCAGAAGAAACCCTCTCAATGACACCATCTTTTTCCATTTTTAGTAGAGCACTTTCAACTCTTGTCTGTATTGCATACGGAACTGGACGTGCTTTATGGAATTTAGCTCCCTTACTTTCATTGAGAACTACAGCATCACCAGTGTAACACCCAATTTGAGGTTGAAACAGTTCATCATATTTTGATAGGAGTGAGTCCAATGTATTCTTATTTTCAGAAATCTTGGAGCATGTAGCTGTGGTAGTAAATGACGGTAACTCAATTCCAGGCAAATTGTTCCAATCTAGCTTTATACACCTTAGCCAGTTTCTTCCAAATAAGACACCAGAGCCCTGTGGTACTACCAGTAATGGAAGAGAGTGCTGAGTTCCAGCATAAGTAACATTAACATTGATTTGTCCCAAAGGTTGAATCTTTTCACCGGTATAGGTAGATAATCTCACTGCGGTAGGTTTTAAAGGGATATGGGAACAAAATTGCTCATAGAAGGTTTGGGGGGCCAAGGACAATGCACAACCAGTATCTAATTGTAAGGAACACTCTTGATTCTCAATTTTCAAGGGTACGGAAATTTCTGATTTGTATAGGGAGTTAACATCAAAAACCGTAAATAATTCTTCCTCAAGAAACACATCATCTGAACTCAGTTTCTGTTCGACAAAGTTATTTTGCATGTTACCTCTCTTGCAAACACGAGCAATGTGACCAGTCCGCTTACATCGGCTGCATACAGCATTTCTAAATCTACACTGGGCCCGAAAATGTTCAGTACCTCCACAGGAATAACAGGCATATGAAAATTTCTGGGCGGTAGGCAATGGTGGTCTTAGGTTATTGGAATTTGATGTATTCCTGCTATTTGAAAACTTATCAGGAATTTGATTTCTACCCACAGTATGCACAGATTCGTTCACTGGTTTCGTATTGTTTTGAAATGCTAAAGTCTCCTTACTAGCAACTTCATCAGCTATGGCCACTTTTAACACATCTTGAAAAGTACGGTCTTCATTTAGTAACTTTTTCCGAGTAGCTGAATTACGAATTCCGCATATAAATTGATCACGCAGAGAACGGTTTAAGAACTGACCAAAGTCACAAGTGGAAGCATAATGTCGCAAACGTGCACTGTAATGAGAAACATTATCATTTTCTTCTTGAATACACCGATGAAATCTATAAGTTTCAGCTACAACCAAACGTTTCGGTTTGTAATGAGTACGTAACATTTCACAAAGCTCAGAAAAACTTTTATCTTTCGGTGAATCAGGACTGCACAAATCACGAAGGGTTGCGTAAGATTTCTTTCCAATAACTGAAATAAATACCGCGACTTTTTTCTTGTCTGCAGCCGCAAGTACTTCTTGTGTAGCATCACCAGGACATTGCCCGATAGAATTAGCGATAAAATATTGCTCTAATCTCTCCGAATATGCAGTAAACAACTCGGTAGACGGATCAAAGTCCCCAGAACGGGTTGATATCCTATCATTCATATACCCTATTATTCTTCCATAGCCCGATTCCAAGCCCTTTTTCTGCGAGAAATATTGGCCTAATTTTGAATTTTGAAAAACCATCGAAATTCGGAATTTGTCAGAAAATATGGTAAAATCAGGTTATTCATTACAATTCTCCATAAAACTGCCCCTCCCCACATCAGTCTCGTTCTCCTATGTTTTTCTTGACAAAACGACTAACGTTTTAAGACCTAGTTTGCTTTATACAATTATTATAGTGTACTGATGAATGTCTTTCATAGGGAACTACACGCGTATTTTGCGACACACAGCGAAAAATAATTTTGCCCACAGCTTAAGACCAACATGGCGCAGTAAGAATTCACGCGTTGGTCGTGTAGTCCGTGTAGTTTCTGCGTTAGTTGTTTGTTGTAGTTTTGTCAAATGCGCAATAGTCTGAAGATGGATGTCCTTTATGATTAAATTTATTCCGCGAAAAGAGACTGAGCAATTCCACATTTTGTACACGACAATTGACGCCGTTTCAGATCTGAATATGAAAATGTAGAGCGGATCGCGGTGAACACCAAACGTGATTAAAACGGTCATGTCACTCTAGATAAATGCAATGTATCCCGTCCGATCCCACCGGGCAACAAGTGTTGCCCGCCCCGTCCGGCTACGTACATAAATAAACAAAATGGCGGCACAACTAAATTTGGGTACAAATAAACGCTTCTTCTTCTGTTTATAAACTACGATTTTCCAATTTTGTGTTAAAATAAAGACATGCAGATATATAGAAAACTTTATTTAAACACGCTGACCCCGTCAACCAAAGCTGATTTCCACGAGGGGCGTAACACGACTTGAATGAGGTTTGAACTCAAATGCTGGTCAGGACAGGCCAATCTTCCTACCATTACGCCAAAGAATGTAAAAGAGAAAAAAATACACAACAGGATACGGCGATACGCTGCTGAAACCGTTTAAATAGTTTCTTTTAATTTTACACTCGTTTACACTATGTTTACCCCATGGTGCCCACCCCCCAGTCATTGTCCCTTTTCCCTAAAATATAAATAAAACATTGGAATAAAAATGAAACTTAGAAGGGAGGTTTGATATTCTAGTAACTGAACCTTGCTTTATGAATCTTATGTCATGTCTGTCATCTTCAAATGATTCATGCAATGCCTTTTTAAAAATGTTACACATTATGGTGTAAATACCTTCGATTTTAGAAATTTCCAAGTGGATAGCGTATCCCAGACCCTATGGATTTGAGTTGTTGGAAGGCTAGGCTAAACAAGTTAGTGCCCGAGTTGTGGTATTTACATAAACATATCAGTCAATCAACAGTATATTAATGTTAAATGTAACACTGTATATCGAAAAATCTTTTTCAGAAAATGCACGAAATGCAGTCCTAGGGGTGGAAAAATACGAACACCAAACTTTTTGTCACTAACAACCATCTGTCATCTCTCCATACTCAATATAGTATGGTTCCTTTTTGTGGATGCCCCTCAACCGACGAATTCTTAAAAAGGCCCTGCGCTATATATATATATATATATATATATATATATATATATATACATATATATATATATATATGTCATCTCTCCATACTCAATATAGTATGGTTCCTTTTTGTAGATGCCCCTCAACCGACGAATTCTTAAAAAGGCCCTGCGCTATATATAATATATATATATATATATATATATATATATATATATATATATATATATATATATATATATATAAATAAACACTTAATGTTTGTTCTCTCGGGAAATAGTTTTGTTTCTCTTCGAATCTCGATGTTTCGGGAAAACAAAACTATTTCCCTCGGAAGCACACATTACACCCGTTTTCAAAATTACGCGACCTCCTTGAAAAATACTCTTACTTCAAATGTCAGTTTTATGTCACAAAAACTGCTAAAAATAGCAAACGTAAACAAACTGTCAAAAGACATTTTAAACCGTATTTAATACCAAAACTGAACAAAAATGAGTTAGATAACTTAGATATACAAACTAAAGCACAATACAAACCGTCACAACAGAAATATGTTTGAAAAGTTTGAAAAAACCCAATTTATTCTGGAATTTAGCTGTCAGTATAAAACACGCGCGCTAGACTATAACGGTGATGTTATGATTTTGTTTGTGCTTAAATTTTGCAATAATTCTCACTAAAATATCTTGAAAATCATCGTAAGCCTGTTTATATAAAGCATACAAGGCATATACATGACAAGGAACCGCAAAACTCAAAGTTTAGACTTCGTGACCGAATGACATAAAACTGACATGTCAACTCTAGCATTTTCGTCCTTGGTCGCGTAATTTTGAAAACGCGTGTAAGTGTATATTGACAGTATACTTATTGTATTTGTCACTTTGGCAGGGCACGATTCCACACCAGCACAACTAGCATTGGAAGCTAAAACTGCCAAGGTTAGTATAATAATTGAAATATAAATAAGAAAAATTGCTAAAATAATAAAAATCGAGTTTCTGTGCGCAGACAGACACTAGTCCTATTCTTAAAATGCGATACATAAACAGAAATATTATTAATTTTGATAGACATTCATTGATGAAGTTATAAACAATCCAAGAGACATTCTGACATTGAATATTAGATTTATTATAAAATGTAATCAACTCTTATGTTTTAAAGGTAGTTGGACCCTGCAATCCCGCAAGCGTAACTTAAAATCTTTAACGCAGTGGCGTAACTGGATGGTGTCCAGAGACGGGGGGCCGGGCCCCCCGGTAAAAAAAACATAAAATTTTTGCTAGCACATTGGGGCAAATTGGCCCAAGCCTCAGTAATAGAGGCCCAGAAAATTCTCAGCGGGTGGCCCCCAAAAGCAGGAATTGGTCAAATTTTGGCTTTTTTTTTGTAGACATGGATGGGGGATTGTTTTTTTACTTGTCATAGTTCTGAAAATTTTTTTGAACCCCTTTTTTAATAAGTATGGTTCGAAAAATTTTTCCCTTCCCCCTCCCCTCCCCGCTCGCCAACTTATTTGGGAAAAATAGGCACCCATTCACAAATTTGACGGGGGGCCTCAGGAGGTTGCGTTACGCCCTGCTTTATTAACGAGACAATAGACATTTCAATACCTTACATTTGAGTATAAATTATTATGTATATTGTGTACATAAAAGATGTAGTTCACTACGGGTCTAAGGGGGGGGGGGGGACCATTCGAAAAGTGATGGGGGGAGGGACAAATCCCCTGCCCCACCCCACTTTTCTAATTATCTGCCCCTAGCCTATTACAGTAGCTCATCGGTGGTGAACATACTCGTTCGTTTAGCGACCCTTCACAACTCATAAATAGAAATCGTACGCACTCACCCCGAGGGTCTCTTTTCTCAACCAACGAGACTATCGGGCGGCTGTTTCCGACGAAGTATTCTATACTTGCTTAATTTTGTAGTTCAACAGAGAGGCAAGGAAGAATGCCATAAAGAGATGCTGTCCCAAACGCAAACTTTCATTGCACATCCTTTCTAGTCAAAAAGTCAAAAATGTATTGAATCATATTATTGTGGACAGGAAAAACAAACTACTCTACTGCTATATTCCCAAGGTCGCCTCGTCCAATACGAAAAGACTTATGCTGACTTTACAAAACTTTACTGACGACAGCAATGCCATACGCTATTTTGATCACCGTGGTTTTGAATTCTTGAGCGACGTTTCGCCAGACGAGAGAGACCACATTCTCAAAACTTTCTTCAAGTTTCTATTTGTACGGAATCCTCTCGCTCGAATACTCTCGGCTTACAGGAACAAATTTCAGCACAACAATGGGCAGTTCCAAGTAAAGTTTGGCCGAGACATTGTACGAAGATACCGAAAACCGAGTATCCCGACGAACGAGGTGATAGGTAACGACGTTACGTTACAGGAATTCGTAAGATATCTGATAGACAAGGAAAATTATGTGCACAATATGAATGAACACTGGATGCCCATGTACGAACTGTGTCAACCATGTTACGTCAACTATGATTTTATTGGTTCATTCGAGAACCTAGACTTGGATACAAGCGCGCTATTGGCAAAACTACGTGCATCAAAACGAATTACATTTCCTAAGAAACAGTCTTTCTACGGGAAAAAGCTGGATGGGAAAGAAGTTGCCAGGTTCTATGTGAACCTTACATTGGACGAGTACAGATCATTACATAAACGATATATTTATGATTTTAAATGTTTTAGTTATAAATTTCCTTTCGAAATATAACATTTTGGTGTTAATATATACGTTTGATAGTTTTAAAGCTATCGTGCTGACTGGCAAACACATATGCAGGCATATGCAGAGACACACACACGTACAAACGTAAACATAACCTCCTGGCGGAGGTAATAAATTATACGAAATTTCATCCTTTTATTATATCATCAAAGAACCTTATTCAAATATATATACCTTATTCAAATATACAGGTAATTCAAAAAAGGTTATCCTTCGAGTTTGAAACTCTAAACCTTAAACCTTATGGTCCTTAAACTCTAAGCGCGAATAGGGCAATGGGAACACGCAGTGTTTGCCGTATTTAGTCAGAAAGACTTAATTGTCATACTCCTTGTATACAGCCAAGATTTACGACGAAAATCGTTCCCATTCCGCTTTTCGCGCTTAGAGTTTAAGCTTTGCAAAGGACAACCTTATTATGTTGTGTTATTGTTCACTAACGAATAATAACACAATATCAGGCAATATCTTTCTGCTTGCGCGCAGTCTGGAAATTATGAAATACACACTCGAGAATATTTTCATATATATACATGTATATACAGCTATTTCAATTAGGGTTGTCCCCCGAGCAAAGCGAAAAAGTCGAATACGAGCGCGAAAGGCTGCTGGGAATCGCTAATAAATTCATTCATTTATTAGCGATTCCCAGCAGCCTTTCGCGCTCGTATTCGACTTTTCCGCCTTGCTCGGGGGACAACCTTAATTGAATCAATATCAATCAATCAATCAATCAATCAATCAATCAATCAATCAATCAATCAATCAATCAATCAATCAATCAATCAATCAATACAAATTTATTTAAACACGGTAAAATCTTCAGTACATGGATAATCTAACTATTATAAGAGTAATAAGACAGTTATAAGGTACATACACACATCAATTATAAAAAAATCTAAGAATTATCTATACTACTGGTTTACAAGATTGCCGTGTGGGAGTTCACTTGAATTATTATAATACTTATCTACACTTTCTTAAATTGTGGAAATGTTTGAAGCTTTCGTATATCTTGAGGAAGACTGTTCCACAAGTAGACAACACTATAACAAAAGCTTCGTTTTAAGTAATTTGTTCGTGGCTTGGTCAAATTTAATCTCGTCTCAGAATTTCTTAAATTGTACCCTGTGTCACGAACTGAAAAAAAAGTCTTGTAGATATGACGGTATATTCCCTTTGAGAGTCTTACAGATTAGGCCAGCCTTAAGCTTTTTGCGTCTTAAGAAAAGGCGATCTAAGTGTAAAGTTTTTAATAGGGTACATGCTTGCACTGGTATCGTAGCTAGACCTCGTAATGACCCTTACCGCTCGGTTCTGTAATTTCTGTATTTTACAGCTTAATGTTTCACCAAGACAGTCCCAGACCGAGCAACAGTAGTCAAAATGAGGCTGAATTAAAGATTGGTAAACTTGAATAGCAGTGTTCGTGGTAATAAACGGTCTGGCCAAGAAAGGTGTTCGTCAATGTGTAGCCCTAAGGATTTGACGAAATCAATCCTATTTATTTTATTATCATTTATCTTAATATTCATTCCCCCATCTACAACTCTTATTTTCTGGCGAGAACCAATAATCATAAACTCTGTTTTTACGATATTTAAGGTTAATCTATTGGTTGTAAGCCAACTATTGAGATTCAGTTTGAGGTCAGAGTTCATGATATTTTCCAGTTCTTCAACAGAATTTGAGGCATAACTGACGCTCGTATCATCTGCAAACATTCTGGGTGTTGTATGATTGAGCCAGTTTGGTAATTCATTAATATAGACAAGAAAAAGTAGTGGCCCCAAATTGCTTCCCTGAGGAACGCCACAGGTTATTGGGACGGAGTTTGACAATTGACCATTGACCAGACATTTTTGAGTTCTATCGGTGAGATACGATTTAAACCATGCAAGTTAGGCTATTTCGCTCAACTCCATAATTTTCAAGTTTTAGCAACATAATGTTGTGATCAATCGTATCGTACTTTCCTAGTTGTGATCATGGCGGGCGGTCGTACTAATCTGAGCTCTGTAAATTGTTATAAAAATAATCTAAATGAATGGAAGTTTGAGCAAATATACAATCATAAAGATTGCTCAAACCTATATAACGTATGATAGAAAGCGTATAAAGTGGTCTGGAAGCTTTGACATGCTGCAAAGTTTCGTTGAATGTGGTCTTAAATTACATGGCAATTGGTCGTCGCCGGGTGGTAATGCAAAAAAGTTTACGTGCCTCAATTCGGACTTAACTATTACTTGGTATGCCAGAAAACAAAATACACTTGTGCTTCACGGCGATGCAAGTTTGGCTCTAGCAAATACGTTGATTACAGTGTGTGGGGCACCAACTACATCAAATGAGTTTACGGCGAAACCGAATGCAGTTGAGGATGGCGAATTATCGGATAATATTTGTATGCCGACAATATGTAGTGTCATAGAGCAAAGGCATAACAACAATACTAACGCGGTTACTGCTGACTCGATTGTTGATATGACTACAGAAATACCTAATCAGTCTTTCAAGAGTGATGTACATTCAGAAAAGCTTAAGGTCAGATCAAATTCACTCCCTTGTAATGTAGTGCATGATTTCGAGCACGGTTGTCAATGTAGGCTGCTGGCAGCAGACCTTGAAGAGGTTAAGTTTGATATGGTGATATAACCTATCCCCGAGATGTAATTAAAGCAGAAAGAAAAAATTCCTATTTTAGAGATGTAAGACAACATAAGAAAATAAACATGTTATATGAATTAGGAACTGTAGACTGGAATATGATAACCAAGGATGGGCAAACTCCAGATGAAATGACGCTGAAATTTTATGAAACGATGTGGCCGATATTTGAAAAGTGCTTCCCACTAATTAAGGTCAGAACAGAAATGTATACTTTCAAAGTATAAACTCGGATCCTCAGTACGCGGCTCCAGAACCTGTCGAGATCCCTGATGGCACCAGGGTTCCTTCGCTCTCTATAAATACTACTCTACACCTTTTACAAAATCTAAAACGAACAGCATCCCGGCCAGATGATCTACCTTACTGGTTTTGGAAGGAATTTGCATTTGAGCTTGCTCCTACCATAACAAATATATTTAACACTTCATTGAAACTTAGCAAAGTTCCTAAAATGTGGAAACATGCAAATGTACTACCAGTACCTAAAGAATCTATCTTAAACTCTCTTAATCAACTATAAGACCAATCTCTTTAACAGATATTATAATGAGATTATTTGAAAGAAGTGTGTTCAAAACTGAGATAGCACATGTTACAAGACACGCTATTGATTCAGATCAGTTTGCATACAAGGAAGGTCACAATTCGATTATGGCTCTGATCAAGTGCCAACACACATGGTTAAGATGGTTAGAAGGAGATGCAAAATATGTCAGAGTATTATCTTTTGACTTTCGCAAAGCATTCGATAGCGTTCCACACGATATTTTATGTGAGAAGCTTAAGAAGCTCCCCATCAACCCATATGTTACTAATTGGCTGATTAGTTTTTTGGAGGATAGGAAACAGAGGGTAGTGGTTGATGGAATAGAAACTGAATACTTGAACATTAATCGAGGTGTTCCCCAAGGAACAGTTCTGGGTCCTGTCCTCTTTTCGATCATGGTGAATGACATCAAAACAGTTAACCCCATAAACCAGTTAGTTAAGTTCGCGGATGACATGACATTAGAAGTACCAGGAATGAAAACGGAGATACATCCCAAGCCGAAGTGGACAGTATACAAACATGGTCTGAAAATAACTCGAATGTCCTTAAATATGGAAAAGACGTATGAAATGATTGTTAGGAGAAATATCCCTACGCTGTTGCCTGATCCTTTTCCATTTATTAAACGAAGGACGTGGTTAAAGATTTTAGGAATTACATTACAGGATCTCCCTTCCAAGTGGGATTTGCATTTTGATGAAATGTTGAAAAAAGCCAGTGCAAGAATGTACATAATGCGTGTCTGTAAATACTATGGCTTCCCAATCAAACAACTGGACATGCTGTTTAACACTTTAATTATGCCTATAATCACTTACGGCATAGAACTTTGGGGAGGCGCATACTTCAATAAATACATTAGTCAAATAGACAAATTCATCAATCGCGCTCACAGAAATGGTTACATATCGGAAAAATTGAATATTAAGGAGATAAGCATAAAAAGGGACAAGAAACTTTGGGATAAAGTAATACATAATAAAGATAATGCACTACAGGAGCTTTTACCAGATAAATTAAATAGACACCTTAGGCCAAGGGGACACGAGTTTGAACTTCCATTAGTGAGAACAGAGCGATTTAAAAGTTCTTTTGTAAATCGATGTTTGTTTAACTTTGTTTAACCAATTTTAACCTTTACCTTTTTAACATTATTAATATTTTTATCCATAACTGTATATATCTAGTTATTACCTTATAGATATCAATAATTTTATCTTATATATTTTTATAATGTAAACTCACAGACGGGTGTTCTTGAGTATGAATAAAGACTGTTATTATTATTAAATCAATAAAAACAACTCATTTACTGGTCTATTGTCAATATTAACGGACCAACTATTTGTAGCCTCAATTAGTGCCGTTAAAGTGCAATGCATTGATCGGAATCCAGGTTGACAGGGACTTAACAGATTAAGATATTCATATAATTGATCAAAAATGATTTTTTCAAACATTTTTGCAACCACTGGAATAACGGATATAGGCCGATAGTTACTTGGGTCAATTTTAGCACCACTCCTAAATATTGGTGACACCCTGCTCGCCTTCAACTCACGAGGAAATATTCCTGTATTTATAGATGTAGCAAATATTCCAGTTAAGGAAGGCGCAATCACGTCTGCCGCTAATTTCAATAACTTATTGGGTATTTTATCTAGACCAACAGATTTCTTTTCATCAATTGTACTCAAAAATCTGTGAACAGTATCAACTGCAGTAGGAGTTTGCAATGAAAACGTTTTATCGGATTGTTTAAGATAGAAATTCGGATCATGATCAGGATATGGTATTTCAAGGTTGTCACCAACACTAGAAAAGTAGCTGTTAAATGCTTCGGCAATTTCAACAGGCGAGGTTATGTCTTGTTCCCCCAAATTTATTTCACTTATTCTTTTCGTTTTTCCAGCATTTCTAGAGCTCAATTAATTAATTAGTTGCCATGTCTTTTTCATATTATTTTTATTGAGCTCAAGATTTTTTGTGAAATAATCTCGCTTGAGTTTCTTAATTTCGGCATTAGTTTGATTTCGAGCTTGTTTATAATCTTGCCGAACATGAGGGTCATTTGATGAAATAGCTTTCTTTTTTACGTAGTTGCTGCCGCAGCGAGCGAGCCTGAAGCGAGCGAGCAAGGCAGCAGATCCTAATTTTGTTTTGTGGGTCGAAATCAAAATTTTCTATTTGGCGCATTGCATGACGGTACCAGTGAATTTTAACCGTGGTGCAGCGCGGTCAGGCATAAGGCAAACAGGCGATGTGATCACCTTTCATCTTTGGTCTTCTTTTATGGAAAGCCATAGCTGGCTTAGAGTGATCAAACGGCATTTTGTTGGGTGCTTTTAGCATTATACGGCGGTGCTTTCGGCATTATACAAGGTGCTTTTGCCATTATACGCGGTGGTTCCAGTATTATACGCGGTGCTTTCACCATTTATATACGCGGTGCTTTTGCAATTATACACAGTGGTTCGAGCACTAATAATATGCGGTGCTTCTAATATTATACATGATGCTAGCTTTCATTCAACATTATTTCCATATTCTTTCCATGACATGTATATGATTTAACGATTGCTTAAATTTGGTATGTGATTGACAAATGCTTTTTGCCTATGGTCTGCATGGACAATAACACGATTTTCTGTGTATATATATTAATATGACGCAGCGAATGCGCCAAACAGTATAAACGCGGCTGAAATACGATATTAAAATCTTAAATGTGCCGTATGATTTTTTAATTATGTTTTAGAATTTACAAATGCTTTGTCATTTGTATTTATACTTGTACTGCATCACAAG